AAATTGATATGAATTTTATGAGTAAATAATAATTATGTCATTCTGATAACGCCGGTACTGTGTTATGTTATTACAATATGTCGAACACAATCAATAGTTTGTGTCACGTGTGTCATACGAGGGATATTTTGCAATTTTATAAATGCACTATAAAATGCGATGTTGAACCTAAAATGTTAATTCTGCTTTTTTAACAGTTTATTAAACATGTCCATCTTTGCTGTTTTGTTCTTCTGTATCCAAGCTTGCTTGGTTCAGGTAAAAATTACTATAATTTAATATTTTTTTCTCAAATATAACATGAAACTTACATAGAATATTGTTTTCAGAATGTGTTCAGCCAATGTATCGGCGCTGGTCCCCTCGCTAACGGCCTAGGTCTGGGTTACGGAGCAGGGCTCGGTCCCTATGGAGCTGGCTTGGGCCAGGTCGAGGCTCTAGCCGGTCCCTATGGAGCTGGTTTGGGGCTCGGTGTAGGGCCAGCGCTCGTGCCAGAGGTGCTTGCCCCAGGGGTCGCTCCCTTCGGCTTGGACGGTCTAGCTGGCGCTTACGGAGGTGCGGGTATAGGAGACATAGCGGTGGCTGGTGAGATGCCCGTCGCTGGAACCACCCTCGTCGCTGGACAGGTGCCCATACTCGGAGCTGTTCGCTTCGCTGGTGACCTGCCCGCCGCTGGGACTGTCTCCATCGCTGGCAGCTGTGGATGTGGTGCCGGAGCTTATTTATACTAAAAATAAGATTTTACAAACGAAAATATAAAGATGAATAAATTTAATTCTTTACAATTATGTACTTAATTCTGATTTAAAATTACTTCCTTGTAGAATTAAACCTCACAAAGTACATCGTTTAAATTCTTACGTCAAGAATTTACTATAGTAACATCTCGTACAAGCTTTATTTAGTTTTAAACAGTATGCTTTTTATCATTCTAGCTGTTACAGGGAAGAATCATTCTTGCTACCATTTCTTAAAAAAAATTACTTTATGAATAGAATTAATTTTACTATACAAGCACATGACACGAAAGAACATAATTTAAAGATTAAAATACGTAAATAATTTACGTAAATGAAGAAAATTTTCCTTTTTTAATCGTAAAAGTTTAAAGTGAAAAATGATATTGAACTGTCCAGAATCCAGTTCCAAGTCCTGTTTATGTTTATGTAGTCCTAACTAGCGAGATTCAATGATATCAAGTTAAGAAGGAAATATATGTACATATATACGATTAAGGTCCAAATAATATAAAGATAGAATCTATTTTTGCTTAGGAATTTATTTATGTATCAGTTTCAGTAAATAATATGTATATGAATAAGAGAAGAGGTAACTTTAAGAAGAATTTAAAGTATACATAATATGTATTATTTTAAATTATGTTTTTTTTTCTTATAATATAAAATTTAAAATCTTGCACCACTGTTGTTATAGTTTAGTTATTAGAAACTTATAAAAAGAGTGTACATACATATGATCTTCCGTTTTAAGCATACACTGACACCAAGAATAGGATAGCGAAGGACTTGTAATGAATTTAAGCTCATAATAGTTTGTTAATAATATATAAGTGAAATGGATTTTGTTAACTATTAATGTATTGGTATGTCACCCATATTATTTTATATTTAAATCAAAAATAATAATACTTAAGTATAAATACAGAAACAATAGTACTTTAAAACGTAAAATGAGAAAATATAATTTAGATTTGTGTGAAAAATGTTTTATAAATTTTAAAAAGTTTCGGTATGGAAAAATTTGATCAAATTAATTTTATAATTGAATCTCAAGAGATGTCCAGGTATATATTGATCGATTATTCATAGTAGAATTATAAATTTAATTACTAAATAAATAATCAATTGTAATAATAGTCAATATGGATGTAATCAAAATTATATCCAGGTATGGGACCGCTCCAAACATCATCAAATGACCCCTCTTATCCAGGGTGGATCAAGAGGGAGTGTCATACTCCTATTATTTAACTGACTAAAAACCTTCCGTACCTTCTCCTGTTTCGAGTCAGGATGTGGTAGGTACATCTTTAATAAACTTTTGTTCACAAACAAGGTTGGCACCGCATCTACAAACTCTTATTATTATATTTTGCGTATAAAGTTTAAGGTTTTATACAATTAATGTCCTTAGAATTTATTTCATATAAACTATTATCAATTATAACTAAATAATAAATTGCATTATTTTTATCTATAGCTGTAAATTTGTTAAGTATTTCTAAACTAGCGTATTGTTTTACATATATATTTCGTGTTAATTCGTAAAATTAAAAGTGATAAGCGGTTTTCAATTGCTTTGTCAGATTTAGAATGTGTTGAAAAATTGCATTAGTAGATTTGAAATAGTACAATATATGTGTTGTAACCAATATTATGAATTCCTAATAATAAATAGAAATTTATGAGAAGTGAATATCTAAAATGATAAAAAAACTTGTTAAGCTTAAGAACTTATTATGTATGTATATAGAAAATTGTTCGTTTCAAATTTGGTTAGGTAGAGAGAGGAGCTTGGACGGTGGAGGTGAGCGTTTAACGCGTTTGATAGGGGGCCCTTAAACCTACACCTGGGTTACAAGTCCCAGGAACTGTTGGAGCTCCTTTCACTACAACGCGATATAAAACAACTGTTTTTCAGATATAATAGGCATTTATAGTTATTTTTAACGACAAAGTTTCGGCTACTTTGCAGCAACCGTGATCACGGGTAGACGAGATGTGAATGTCTGTCATTTGGACCTGTTATTTATTACCTACCGCCATCGAATTTTTAATTATCTGGCGTACCGCTCGACATGCTTCCAAAATTTCGGTAACTGTATCAGTATTATCTATTCTCCATACAAATACGTCGCCACAAACTTCATGTTATATATTTCTGTAAATATACATGCATCTATTATGCTTCGATTCCCGTAACCCGGTACGGTCTTAAGCTCATATAAGTGGTAAAATATGTATTTGGGCATGTGTAACATTGATATTCTTTCTTTAAAAAAATGTCTGGTAAGTGTAATTAGGAGTTACAGAAAAATCTACCAGTGGACACTGATTTCTGTGATGGTGACGTGTGCTTTAATAATTAAAAATTCAGCCTACCCTTACAACTCAGTGCATGGCCCACGATGAAAAAAACCCGCTAATCGGCAAAGACCAATAGGGCTATAACAACACTCATTAGTTAACTGTACACCAACACTATCCTCACTCATTCTAGTAAGAGTTTTGAATGTATTATTGTTTTTATATAATATACTATTAAAAATAAAATCTTCGTTTTGAAGAAATATATGTATGTAATTGAACAATTTCGACTATTTCCAAGTAGTTATTTGTTAAGTTATGACTAAGTGAGATTTATTTGTTTATGAATGTTTGTTTTCAGTCCAAGTTTATACATTTGTTACGTAGACGCTGATGAAGAAATAATTGAACATCGCTGGGGCGACATCTTTGTATGGGTTAAATATCATATAAAGAATAACGCCTCTGACTCCGCGGAACAAACACCAAGCCGTGTGAACCAGAAGATTCCTGATACACACAAGCTATGGAACGGTATTACTATACTAAAATCGTGACAATCATGTAGTCTTAGGTATAGGTTATAAGTTTTAATATGTAATTCTTATTAAGTATAATATACATATAAGTAGGTATGTTTCGTAGTTTTCCTGGAACCTCCGGTTGCCACCCTATATAATTCATTATTTACCAAGCGTTTACCGTTTCTCGTTTTATATTACTTTAATACTATAATGTACAAAGACTATTCATTAAAACTTCGTGTCACTATTTTACTGAACTATACATAGGATTTATGTCAAACGAATCATTTAAATTATTCGTCAAAAGTCGAGTTTTTGCATTATAGTAACTTAGTTGTAAATAAAAGAAGAAATATAAAATTAAGACATAAAACAATTTATTAAAACCATATCAATAATGATTAGTAGATGTAAGCTCCACCACATCCGCAGCTGCCAGCGATGGAGACTGTCCCAGCGGCGGGCAGGTCACCAGCGAAGCGAACAGCTCCGAGTATGGGCACCTGTCCAGCGACGAGGGTGGTTCCAGCGACGGGCATCTCACCAGCCACCGCTATGTCTCCTATACCCGCACCTCCGTAAGCGCCAGCTAGACCGTCCAAGCCGAAGGGAGCGACCCCTGGAGCAAGCACCTCTGGCACGAGCGCTGGCCCTACACCGAGCCCCAAACCAGCTCCATAGGGACCGGCTAGAGCCTCGACCTGGCCCAAACCAGCGGCGTATGGACCGAGCCCTGCTCCGTAACCCAGACCTAGGCCGTTAGCGAGGGGACCAGCGCCGAGGCATTGGCTGAACACATTCTGCAAATGATAATAAATGCTGAAATACTATGATATACGTGAAAAACTTCTATCGAATAAAAGTTAATTATAGCTCTTGTGTGTTTATACGAAGATTGTACCTTTCAACTTTATAAAAGTTATCTTAATTATTTGACATATAAAGTTTTTTTCCTATCTATTTAATTTAAATATTTTGTTATAGTAACATTTAGCAATGGTCAGCTATAAACTTGAAAAAGACTACAAATAATAATTTAAAAATTACAGAAACTGACATTAGATTTAACTTGGTCCTTAATTTGTGATAAAACTTTTTAAAAATAAGATTAAAAATCTTAGCATCTCTTCTTACCTGTACTAAGCAAGCTTGGATGCAGAGAAGAATCAGGCTGAAGAGTGACATCTTGATTGTAAAGTAGAAGTCTACAATATAACATAAAAAATTAACTAAATTATGTATTTATAAGTCGGCAGTTAGGTCACTATTATTATGAAACTAAAAGAATTAGGTATCTATTTGAAAGCACATTTATCAATAACTAATTTTCACAATATTACGCATATTATTTAGTAACAAGTTAGTATAAAAAAAACAATATTATTTAAAATATATTATTCTCACTTTCATTGTGTTGTCAACACGAAATATGTTCAAGAAATCGCTCTTCGTATGTCTTCAGGCCCTTTTAATTCAGGTTAGAATTCACTGCATTCTTGTAAATTAATAAAGTTAAAGTTTGTACTTAAATAAGAGACGAAACCATGGATTATCCTTGTGAGTGTCAGGTTCATCGTTGTAGAGAGAGGAGCTTCAACAGTGACTGGGACTTGCGACCCAGATTTAGGTTTAAGGGACCCCTATCTAACGCGTTAAACGCTCACCTCCACCGTCCAAGCTCCTCTCTCTACCAAATTTTAAAAGAACCTACTAGGGCTGAATTCGAAATACATTCCAAGAATTAATTGATATAGTTATATTATTTATAAATTTTCTAACATTTCAGGGTTTTTCTGCACAATGCTTGGGACCCTACAATGGATATGCGGCTGATGATTTAGCTTGGGCAGCTGGTAATCCTTTAGCCTGGGAGAATGGCATGAGCTGGGCTGCTCCTAATCAACTTGCTCTGGAATCGGCGGCAGCTTTAGGTGCAGCAGCTCCTTATGCTTCTGCAGCAGGTCCCTACTATTCCTCCCTTGCATCACCTGCATCTCTAAGTGCTTCTAATGGAGGTGGTTTCGCTGTGACCAGTGCCTCGCCAATAGCCGCTACTGGCGTGACTATGACGTCTGAAAATGTTTATGAAGGACCTTTATCTGTTGCTGGTACTATGCCATTCTTGGGTGCTGTTGCTTTAGAAGGATCTTTGCCGACTGGTGGTGCTGGCGCTGTGTCTTATGCTTGTGGTAATGGAAACGTGGCTATGATCAATGAGGATTATGCTGGTTATAGCATGGGTCCTCTCGGTTTTGAAGCTGGTGTTAATGGTCCAGCTTATGGCTTGAACGGTTTAGCTGGACCTATTGTGGAAGCAGCTCTTCCTGGTGCAGCATTCGCAGCTGGAACTCGTTTCGGTGGTTGCGGATGTGGTGCTGCTTATTAAATCATAACCCAGTATTAAATTGTATTGCCTTTATTGATATTCGATTTATAATAAAACAATTTTAAATCAAGTTGACTTTTAATTTATTTGAGAGAAACATATATTATATTGTATGACAAATAGGTATATGTTTATAGTTATTGATTTTGAAAACCCAATTGTTTACATTAATAACACAACAGTATTTAACTACATAAGTCAGTGGTGGCCTAGTGGTTAAAAGGTATCCCTCTCATTCACGAGGGCGCTTGTTCGATCCTGGCCTAGGCAAGTACCAATGTGATTTTTCAGAGTCATATGTACTTTCTAAGAGTATTTAGACATCACTGATTAATATCAACCCAAAGAGGGTTGATGTCAGGCAGGCGGCCGGTCCTAAAAACAATTAGTCAAAACTATTTACAACATGTAAGGCAGAACCTGGCTAAAGCTGGGAAATTGCCAGGTAGTAGTATTTAACTACATAATAATAAAACTCATTCATACAATTCAAGGTTACTGTCAAAATATAAATATAACGTAATTTGAGTTTTAATTGATAACAATACTGATTAGTCACAATGTTCGGTGTTTGTATGTGTGAGTGTGTATACATGTCATTGTGTGTGTGTGTGTGCATTTGTTTTATATATTTTTACTAATTCAAGAAGATAAATAACAATCGTATTTAATTTTTATTTATTCTTAAACTTATATTTTTATCAATAAGCTAACTAAATTCAAATACTTATATTGAAATAATTCTGTTATAATTTTATTTCAACAATTCTAAGAAAATTTTTTTCTTACATTGGCTAACTACTTGATTAACTTTTATCAAAGTTTTTCTATTTGTACAAATGTATTGTTGTATATATAGTTTTATTTTAATATTCTATATTATTTTCGTGTATGTACAGGAACAATCCACCTATACTGTTAATTCACATTGCCATAGATCCAAGGTAATAGTGACATATAAATGAAACTAATATTTTTTGGATGTACTAGCGATTTTTATTTTTGATTATAAACTACATACTCCTGACTTTCAGTTACTTTTAATAGTAACATATTATTAACTTTATACATTATGTCTTACAGATGTCCATAATCTTACAACGGTTTAACTAAGCCAAGATAATTTATTTAAAATCGATAAATTATTCTTTAAAATATACAATATTAATAATTAAAATAATTAACAGTCATTCTAAATCATAAAAATACAAAAGTTCAACATCATTTTCATTCGCAGACAAATATTCATTAAATACAATAATCTCTAATATATTATCCGACATCTCTATACCATTTGAAACAGCAGAAATATTACTATAGCTTCTAATATTAATATTTTCTTCTACATCTGCAGCAAATTCTACCGCACCTGATGCTGCAATACTTGTTGTCGCAGCAGTATAAGATAAATCGTCTCCAAGACCAATATTAAAACTTCCACCAAATGATATTGATGCTCCTGACGTGTGATCAATCATAATCTAAAATTTGCCAATTAAATATTATTTTTCATACAAAAATATGTAGTAAAACATAATTTTGAAGTAACTAGAAGTTGTTGTATTTTTAAAACTACATACTCGCGACGTTTCGGTTACTTAAAGGAATCGTGATCACGGAAACGAAATTTGAATGTCTGTTAATTGGTTCTGTTATTTATCATCATTGAGATATAACAAGGTAACCGAAACGTCGGGAGTATATAGATTTAGAATTCTAACAATATCATTAAAAAATATACTTTTCTTATAAAGGCAGTACTTTTAAATAACAAATATAACCTTAACTAGAGCAAACTAATTATTATCTTAAACAATAACACCTTAAATGAGTTAAATTCAATTTACAAAAACACAAGTCGTTTTCACAATAAACTTTCCATAAAAGTCAACAAACCAAACGTCATCGGTCATCGTTTTAATATCACTTCGGATGCGTTCGGAAATTTAAAGGTTCGGTTCGAATAAAAAGTGTGTTCCCTAAGTGTAGTTTTAAAAATCCATCGTTCATATTAGTTTCATTTAAATGAATAATTATATTGTAATAAAAAAGTGTCACTAACTAATAGTTTGATAAACTCACGTGAATTAAGATGGAAAAGAGACAGAGTGGATATAGGCAGGACATGTTGATCCAAAGATGTTATTCGCAATAATAAATTCTAATTAACTATAGATTATTTTGTTTATATAATATATTAAATAAACGTATTATATGTTTGTTCAGGTGAAGTAATGTTTTTGTGTCATAAACAGATATTATGCGCAGAATTGTCGCATTAGTTTTATTTAGCCAAAATTAGCTTGAACTGCTAATGATTGTAAGTTCAGTTGTAAAATGATCTGTAGAATAGTAAATGTACAAATCTTTTAAATATATTTTTTGTGCAAGAATTCTATATATACAAAAGTATTGGAGGTAAAACGATTATCAATGAAAATTTTAAACGAATTCTGTTTCAAAATTCTACGAAAATTTTAGAAGAAGTTTTGTTGCTAATCTTACAGTTTTACGACGTTACAAATTAAAAATTTGGGAAAAGTAATAGAAAATGTATTAAAAGATTCTTACTGTTTTTATCAACGACAGTGTTACTAACTTTTCCATTAAGAGATGAAGATTTTCTCTTTTCATCTTTGAAAACGTATTTGTTGTTTTATATAACTGTAAGTTATTTGCTAGTTCCTAGCACAACTAGACAATAGACATACTTTTCACTACAATTTGATTGACACCTCAAATATAATACATAATATTTAAAACAAACTCCATAGAAACATTATTTTTGAACGGAACCCTAAATATATTTTCATATTAATACAAAACAATATGGTTGGATAATATTATGAACAAAACAAACGTTGATTAATAAGAAAGTTATAACATACATTTCATTTAATTTAAAGAAATGCAAATGTTTATGGATAATTAAAACAAGAAACATATGGTAATAATGATTTTATTTTAATTAAATAATATATTTATCAATATTTAGTAGACAGCACCACAACCGCAACCTCCCAAACGAGCGTTGTTCAGATTATAACCATAGTTAGGTCCAGCGAGTCCAGCTTCAACAGCTAATTGGGAAGACAGTCCGTTATAGCCTTCATAAGCTGCTGGACCAAAACCATTATAACCATAAGCTGGACCATTAACAGCAGCTCCGTAACCGAGAGGACCCATGCTGTAACCAGCATAGTCTTCATTGATCATAGCCACGTTTCCATTACCACAGGAATAAGACACAGCGCCAGCACCACCAGTCGGCAGAGATCCTTCTAAAGCAACAGCACCCAAGAATGGCATAGTACCAGCAACAGATAAAGGTCCTTCGTACGCATTCTCAGACGTCATAGAAACTCCTGTAGGTGAGATTGGAGAAGCACTGGTTACTGCAAGACCTCCGCCGTAAGAAGCAGCGAGACTTGATGGAGAATATCCAGCACCAAATTCGTTTAGAGCGTAATTAAGACCAGAATAAGCTGAAGGGCCAGCGCAAGAAGGGTTCCAGGGTGCAGAAGTAGCTTCCCAAGCTAACGCATTTCCTGCTTGCCAAGCCATGTTATCAGCTGCTAGACCATTATAGGCGCTGATGCACTGAGCATTTATACTCTGAAATTATAAAAAGAGAAAATAAGTTTAAGGTATGAGTAATTTTTATTTGAGCCTAGCTGTGGTCAAATTACTAAATCGACATGGGTTGTACAACCCTCTCACAGAAGATCGAGTTAAAGTAGTCTTTAATGGCTGCGTTTAGTTCAATGAGTGAGAGAGTCGGTTGCCCTTTCCATTTTTCTCCCTTCCCCAAATAAAGGTGGCAATACATCCGCAAAACTATTTTGCAGATGTCCATGGGCGACGGTACCACCTCTATCAAATAGGCAATTTGCTCGTTTGACATCTTTGTCATAGAAATAATAATAATTTTGCTTACTAAGTTAAATTTTATATTACAATAAAAATACCTGACTGAGGCACGAGCAAATGCAAGCGGTGAGTACTATGAAGAGCATTTTTGTGCTGTGGTTTCCGTGGTAATATTGATGTACCGTGTATAAAATTAATCTTTTTATACTATTTATTTCTGTAACTGTAAATATAATGAAATGTTTTAGAAAGTATTCGTGATATATCTTGTATCTTCTTATCAAAGTTCATTGTGACATTTCTTGGTGATAGCGAAGGCTGAGGCTATACGGATTTTTGGAAATTATGACTGTAATTTCAGTATAATATTTCATGAACTGACTGTTTTTTCATTGTTTTCGAAATTTTTTTTTGGAAAATTATTTTGTCACTATTTATACTGGTTACTTTATAATTGACGATTATCATTAGCTGAAGGTGACCGCATAGAAACGTTTTAGTAATATTATTTTATTTATTATTATTTATTTAATACTTTTTTGCACACCACACTTTCAATAAAGACAATTACAAAAAAAAAACAAACTTAAAACTAACGATGTAACAAAAGGCGGCCTTATGGCTTATTAGCCATTTCTTCCAGGCATTCCATATTAACTGTCTTCAAGGAGAACTTTAGCTTATAGAAGAGAAAATTTTATCAGTAGGGTCAAACTACGCTAATTTATTTATCTTATGTTTGAAAGTTATTAGCAAAATTTATATTAATTAACATAAAAAAGATCATATACTTAAAGGATTAATTTTTTAATATACACTTATAAACAAGAAAACCGTTGACATCGACAAAATATTAGGCAAGTGAATAATGCTGAATCTACGAGTATTGTATTGTAAAACGTCATCACGTGAAAATTGTATATTTTAGGGCAAATTCTAATCAAACTTAACTTAGTGAACTATGAAAATATTTGTCTTTTTGTGCTTCATCGAATTTATAAGCTATTCGAAATTACTTTATCTTAATTAATGTAAAACTCCAATTAAAAGTGATTTTGTTATGGTGCGTAGTTGCTTGTTTTTGATGGGTTTAAAAACACCTAAACGTGGGTTAAGTCAAGCTGATTTTTCGGTATTTATTCAAAATAAGCTGAAAAAATAAATATTTCTAATCAAATAAATTACAGTGCATTTGTAACATCAAAAGAAAATTTTTCACTAAATTTCGGGACAAAAAATTGTTTTTTGTAAGAGATAAAAATAAAAAACCAAAAACTTGGTTTTTCGAATTTATCACATAAATTTTCAGGTTATGTGAAAAAAGTGTAAATATAAAAGTTTTAGATCTTTTTATTACCTACAACGTTGCTATATAACATTTTTCATTAGAACTCTTAGTTTTTCCGGAAATCGAGAAAACCCATTTTTTACCCTTAAATACTCACCCCCATACCTTTCCCGACCTCAGATCGCCTGTAAATTATTTTTCCTTTAAATTTTATAATATTCCCCTCCTTTTCTAATGACTTTCATTCTAATATAATTTAATTATGTTTTAAAAGCTATCGGCACTGGTCTAAATCTGCATATCAAATTTACATAGCATAAGCCTAAAAATGTTACCGTGATTCTATCTTAAGCATTATATATAAAATACCGAAGAACTTGCTGACATCATATGACTCTTCCTGACATCTATTGGCGAATAACAATACTACTTTTAGCTAATTGCTTTTACTAATTGCTTTAACGACACAACAGCAGATGGCGTTGTTAAGTACCAGGAAGTCAATGGGTGTTTGTTTTAAGGTCAGACTAAGAAATTAATTGTAGATTTATATTGATTTGTGTCTTCTTAACGTGTTCACTTAAAATGTCTAAACGAAAAAAAAACAAACAATATAAATACTAATAATTCCTAAATACCGAGCAAAGCTCGGTAACCAGTTATTGTAATTGATATGAAATTGAATACGAAATGAATTTTAATGTTTACAATAAGTTTACAACATCAAGACTTGCAAAAATAATGCCTTCAATGTCTCAGAGCAATAGTATTTTCAAACATGTTACTTTAATATATGTATGTATGTTAGCATAAATTCATATACATTTTCATGTAACACTATGTTTATATATATATATATATATATATATATATATATATATATAGAGGAAACTTCTCAGCATTCAATGTATTCACCGTGCCGGTGCCGGGTCCATCGGCTTGCAGGGAAAAAAGCTTCAATGGTACCTCGGACTTGCGACCCAGGTGTAGATTTAAGGGACCCCTATCTAACGTGTTAAACGCTCACTTAACTGTCCAAGCTCTTCTCTCTACCAAATTTGAAAAGAACTTACTAGATCTGCTTTCGACGTACATTCCTAGAATAAATTAATGTGAGCTCTGGACAGGCCAAAGTCTTTTAGTAGGTTGTAGAGAGATTTCGCTGTTATACCTCTCGCTCCCACCTCTACCGGGTACAAATCCACGACGAACCTATTTCGAGTTAGTTCGTTAGTGAGCTCGTAATACTTATTGACCTTGATGGTATGGTCTTTAAGGATGTTAGTTTCCCAAGGAACCGTAAGCTCTATCATCACAAGGCGATTTAATCTCATAATATCTTATGAAAAGCATTACGTAATATTTTATTTCCGTCATCGTATTTGATTTTATTGATTGCAAAGTTAAGAAAAATCACGTTCATATAGTTATGAAATTAACAATTTATAAGACCTGATTTAAATTATTATTTGTTATTATCGTTTTATTTCCATTTGAGATGTATCCTGCATTTATATTACTTTGTTTTGCACAGGTAATGTATTTTAAATGTTTGTGTCAAATTTTTGTTATTATTTAACTGTGAAAATATTGAATCATATTACTTTGCTATATATAAAATATAATGAAATAAAAGATTTATTGTTACAGTTTTATAGTTGATTAAATATATCCTAGTTGTTATCAATTTCAGTCTAAGTAAATATAATTTTATGATTCTAATATATGATATTAATATTTTTTGTTTGATAATAAAAATATGTAAATTTTCAGATCGCCTTTAGTCAAGTTATTGGCAATGGCGTGACCGGTTATAGCGTGCCAATGAATGGCATGACCGCCAATAACTTTGCGGCTAACGAATACGCTGCCAACAACTTTGCAGCGAATAGCATTGTTGCAAATAATTTGGCAGCAAAAAACGCAGCTCTTGGCCAGAATGTATATGGAATTGAGAATACTTTAGCTGAAAATGAACTAAGAAATCAGAATGCTGCAGCTTTAAATGCTGCAGCTGCAAATGCTGGAATGAATGGCTTGTCATTTGCTGGCTTGCCAATATCTGGCGTGCCGCCAGTAGCTTTCGGTGATGTGGCTGTGGCTGGTGAATTGCCAGTTGGCGGATCTACAGCCGTGAATGGCAATGTTCCAGTCATTGGTTTTGTAACATTTGAGGGTCATGTGCCAGCCGGTGGCACTGTAACATTAGCCAGTAATTGCGGTTATAACAACCCAGCTGTTCTTATTTAATAGAAATTGTTATTCTTTTTATGAGATCTTAATAAATTTATTTATGTTTTAAATGAGTATTTCTATATATATTAAACAAATAAATAAATAATTGTAAAAGCAATATTATGTACAAATATCTAAAAGAGATTAGAGGAATGTAGATTATTGGTGGAATATTAAAATGTCGACTGAAGATTGTAAAGTATTTAAGAGAAAGAACATTTTAATGATCGAAAAAATTTAACATTTTTTGATTATAATATTCCAAAGAAAATTTTTCAAACTGTTATAGAACTACACTATCCTATTTGTATTATTTAATGGTCACGTAACTTTTAATTAAAAATATATGTTGATGTCACTGCATTTAATATTTCACTTACTAAATTAAATTCCTGTGAAAGTTATATTTTTACAAACTTTAACTAACAGTGAAATAAATAAGATAATGTCTTTAATATAGAATAATATAATTTTGTACAGTATAAGCTCTTGGTGCATAACTTGCTTTGCTGGAATGAGTCTATAACTTTAATCTAAATAACAATGGTATATGTAAGTAAGTAAATATAAGTCGGAGTAAATTATTTTGTTATTAATTACGATTGGTCTCAGCGAAGGATGCAATGAAAATCAGTTTCACTTATAAAAGTATATTTATTTAAATGAAATTATTTTTTCGGATTATACTACGCGTGTTTTATTATGTTTAAAAACTACATACTCCTGAGATTTCAGTTACTTTTCAGCAACTGTGATCACTGACAGACAATCTTATATTTACTATATATGTATATGTTACAATCAAGACTTATTTCTAACTACAATCTAAACAGATGTCTGTAAGTCAGCGGTTGACTTCAGACTGAATATGTGTTAAAACCCATTTCAAATTTTACACTGATAGTGCAAGGCGTGCGGTGTTATCTTAACCTTTTCATTCCCACCGATGGCTCACAGTCGTCATTTGGTACTAATACCATTGATGTACAATAAAGTTTTATCTGTCATAAATTAAAAGAAAAAGTCCATCTCCAAACACTTTAAAACAAAAGAATGGAACAAAACTAGGTTATATATTAACAAACACATATATAAAAAAGCTACATTATATTTCCATTAAGAGTATTTATTATAATTATTAAATAATTAACTAGTCAGTAATTACACAAGTACTGTTATTATTAACTCAGCAAGGTATGTTTTTAAAGCATGCTAGGTTTACATCCAGAAGACTTCAACTTAATGACACTCTGTTTAGCTTAGATTTTATTTTGTATGCATTAGTTGTAAGTCAGTTTTGTAGACTTAAATTAAAAAAAAAAGATTAGTGTACCTAGGAGATTTCGTATCAATTTAATTTTAATACAAGTGAAGTTATTTTGACTATTACTTTTTTGCTTTTAAGATTTTGTTTCACCCCGTTTATACGATTTCTTCATGATCTAAATATGATACATAGCAAGAAAAATATTCTCACTATTCTCAATGTATTTTCAACGATGTTATTTATTTAGAATACCAGAAGCTACATAGAGGCCTACAGACCTGTTTGAAGAATAATTGTATTTTCTCTTAAATTAGAAAATTCAATGGAATATGCTCCAAATTTGAGAGATATAGTTTCATGAGATATGGTTGGGATTAAGACTAGGATGTTTAATACAATGTTTAATTAGATCGTCTTCCTGAAGTTATATTTTGCTAATTACCCTCACGCCCTCACCACTAAGTGGTGGATCTGGATACGGCTTCTCCTAAACTTAGTTTAAACATCCATATATTTTAAAACAAAAGTATTTATAAGAATAATTTTAGTTTATGAAAAAGATTCAATTCTTTGTAACTGATATATTAAAAGAAAATGTAAATTTTTGAATTCAAAAAAGCTAATTATAAAACCAAACCCTGTTTGTGAATTATTATGAATATTTTGTGAATAGTCAAAAAGTAAAGTTCGATAATATTTTAAAGTTCGTGTATTTATAATCTTTTATATAAAACATTTATAACTTTGTTTAGAATTTGCGAACACAATAAATAAGTACAAAACATTTATTGTAATATTTTATTAATTATTCTATTAACAAGAATGAGATATTTAGATACATTACAACAATATTATATAAAAGCATATTTCTGTTCAATAAATAAACAATTGTATAAAAAAATAAATCTAATATAAATTAATAAAATATTTCATAAAATTATTCTGGTACAGGTGCAGACGCCTGCCTTCCACAGCTGTAATTTACAGATGCAGAACCATCGGTCGGCAGATTGCCGTTCAATGCCACCGCACCAAATATCGGGATCTGGCCATTTACAGCAACGGTTCCGCCAACTTCCAGAGCATCAGCCAACACCTGGATGCCAAATCCTTGGTTTCCAGGTGATCCACTGGTCACAGTAAATCCATGGCCGTCATTCCCGAAGTTAAATGTAGCAATATTACCATTAATATTTGCCATACTTGCCAATGCTGCTAAATTGGGATTGGTTCCAGCGAATGTGGAACTTGCTATGTTTGCTAAATCAGCGTTAGTCACTGTCCCAGTAAGTTCCTGCCTACTAGCAGCCAAGGCAGCATTTTCATTCAATACATTGGCCATTGCGGCATTTGCAGCTTGAGCATTTGCAATATTTGCATTAGCTGCTGCGGCTTGGGTGGCTGGTATATTCGTGATAATGTTATTTTGAGGCGGTTTCGAGACAGTGATGGCATTGCTAGGAACTACTCTATAGCTATTGGCATTCGCTGCCATAGCGTTCGCTGCCATGGCATTTGCGGCCATAGCATTTGCAGCCATGGCATTTTGTTGATTCGCTGCTAGAAGACCTGGATTGGCTATGGCATTTCTTGGCACGTACGAAATTACTTGTGATGTAACGATCTGTAAGAAAATATTTATATAAATATTGAAAACGTGCTAAAATAATATAGATGCTGACATAACTAATAATTTATATTAGATATTATCTTTTTATACCGTCGCAGCTAAAATCAAATAAATAAAAGTCCCCTTTAATTATGTATTATAAAAAAAAGTAACATATCTTTTAATTATGAATTTTTTTATCATAATATATAGTTAATTTTCATCAAATAATATTTTTTTACACCTCACCTTGATGAAAGCGATGCAGAGAAAAACTCCTAGATTCTTCATTCTATGAATATTATAGATAAATGAAAATAATACAAAATAGTCTGATGAATTATTCTAAGTGCGTCTGCTTTTATATAAAAATATATTAAACTCTTATCTCCTTATCTACGTTTTAATCATCTTGCGTGATATAAGATGCAATGTTAACAAATTTCTATTTAATTCATTACATAAGTAATCGATTACTTTGTCATAATTTTATCGGAGAAAAGTATTCTTTATCTTCTTTTTCCTGGCAATATCCCAGCTTTATCCAGGGTCTGAATAACATGTTGTGAATAGTTTTGGCTAACTGTTTTACGACTGCCTGACATCAACTCTATTTGGGAATGCAGTATTATTTATGTACATATTTTATATAATACATTATTACTTTTGAAAAATAATTTATTTTCCTTTTACACACACGTGAATATTTTTCCTGATGGTAAATATCATCCATCTTTCATAGATTACTGAAGCTTTTTCCCTACAGACGTGAAGATTACGATGGGTTAAAGATAGAATTTTATCAGTATAGATAGGAATTTATACTACTGGGAATTACAGGAATAATATTTTATATTGAGATGTATCTCGTCTACAAAATGTAAGATATTATAAATGTCTTTATCTAATACGTTTACTGGAAGTAAAAGGTAAACAATACACATATACCGCCAGCTTCGCTGACGTCACTTATGTCACTTCTTCTAGAACATTCCATGATATTGTAAAATGAAACTTCAATCGTTCTTAATGCTCCTGTATTTCTCGAAAGTTCTTCATAATCACATTATTCAATGTACCACACTCACTGAACTCTGCCGTCGTGCGTCCAGACGTCATATTTATACCAAGATTCAAACATAGTTCTATTCCCCTTTTAAACAATCTTTGATTTAGTTTTACTTTTCATAATAATCATGAATACTAATGAGTTTTAATAATAATTGTTGACAGGCTTAAGTTATTTTCATGTTGCATCCGTCATTAATTATTTTAGCTGATATCGCCGATATAGGTATACAATTATAAAGTTATTAGAAATAAGTCGAAAACAATTCTGAATATAACTTAGTTTATGAAATGTAAAAAGACTTGATTTTATATGGAGATGCTTTTTCAATGAGATTGGTATAAAAATGTTTTGCAATACTATAAACTATTCTTGTTTAAAAAACTTTTGAATTTCTTTGGTCATGATTGTGTGGAAAGTAATTTCATAGTTTAAATAAATATATATTAACTAAAATAAAAATATATGTCTTATATTTCTTTGTATGATGAGATGATTGTTAAAAAATATTTGCAAAAAGACGAATGGTATTTGGTGTTATTGTTGAATTAGTTTAAATACAAACATACAATGTCTTTTTCTTTCATAATATTTAATGTTTGTTTTCATATAATTTGAATGCTTTTTTTTATATTTCTAAAACATTACATTTTTTATTACATTTTGTTAGATTCTATATTTAAATCCAAGATAAATTTATTTATAAACTTGGTAAAAAGTTAACCATAAAATAAATTTTAATTTGCCTGAATGATTAATTATGAATTATAGACGGAATATGTAGCAAGGAATCTCTTTAGGAATATTAATATATATCAATGAAAAGACACATTTAAAAATACGTTTTTTTTTTATTTTAAATCAACCAATACATATTATTATGATTTCCTACTTAAAACACTAAAATAGCCTCAATTAATTTCTTTATTAACCAATATTTTCACATCTCTGAAGTGCTTGAAATCACTACCAAGTGATTCCCTAATAACCTATTTCACTTCTCTTACAACGCGTGTGTTAGGATATTGGTATATAATTATACAATGTTTATTAAATATACTATTTATATTTAAATATATATCTTGTCATTTACAGTTTAAATAATAATCGAATAGTGAGGATTTGACTTACAAAAGTGTTGCGTCGTCAATAATATGTCAAACGACGTTTAATATACTATTATTAGTTAAAACTTTAAATATATATTTATTATTTATTGTATTTGAAATATTATCTGATTTAATACTGAAGGAATTATTATTAAAAATTAAAAATAAGACTTACGTACAAAAGCAGTAACGTGTCAAACATGTGTTTAGTTTAAATTGGAATCCGCTTTCAAAATATAATTTACTAAAATATTTTCTATTATTTATGAATTATGTATAAGATTTATATTTAAAGATTTATATTTATTTTCCCAAAAGAGGGTTGATGTCAGGCAGGCGGCCGGTCATAAAAACAAATAGCCAAAAACTATTCACAACATGTAAGGCAGACCCTGGCTATAGCTGGGAAATTGCCAGGTAGAAGAAGAAGAATATTTATATTTAAATACAAATATTATATATAATAAACATTGTATAATTATAGAACAATATCCTAACACACGCGATGAACGGCGTTATTTTGAGAAATATATCGTGCAATACTGAATGCCGTATTAAATTTGATATAGAAAAATTACCAAATTATCATATTTTTTATAATTAAAATTGAAAAATCCCTAGATATTTATTCTAAATCACATCGATCCGCAAATTGTCACTGTACCCTTCGCAAAAACTTGTCCTCCAAATGACACGTCACCCACAATAGGCACTGTTCCAGCGAGATCAGTCACTCCGTTGACTGGCATTTCACCAGAAACAGACAGACTTCCTGTACCTGCAGATACAGGATCCGGCAGAGAGGAACTAAAGGAAGATTCTTCAGCTCGTGGCAGACCAGCCAATGGCATTACTTTAAAGAAAGTCATTGGAAAATACGATGGGAAGGTCAGTCGATGTGCTGCAAAAAATATAATTTAAATTAAATTTAATACAATATATGTATGTTATTTAAAAAATTATAATGCCATTAAGATACACAAGACAGTCAAGTACAAATGGTATTCTTGCTTGTACATGCATTAGTCACTGGTTGATTTTATCGAATATGTGGCAATTAAATAATAGTGTTTAAATAAGTATTGGAAACTACACCACCAAAAAAATTTGGGACTTTTCGTGACTAAATTCCTGTTAAATCAAAATAACAAGCCATTGAGCGCAATAAGTATTTATTGTGGGACTATTTTTAAGAATTTTGCATTATCCATCGATCGTGTAAGTGTATGCGTGTGCTTGTGTATGTGTGTGTGTGTGTGTGCAAATATAATAAATAAATAAATTAACTAACGTCCAGATCTCGCAATGATAGTGACGCTTCCAGATGCACGAAGTGGTCCATTGAAGCCAATATCTCCACCTATTGGTACCACCCCATCTATTGAAGTTACTCCGGCTGTGTCGATGTCATCACCTATCACTGCAATGCTTCCAGTACCCTCCCCTACCAAGGGCGAGGAAAGGACCTTCGACAAATGAATACTTTGTGACAAAGAATATAATCAACACTATGCCTATCAGCCTATCAGAGCCCACTGCTGAGCAAAGCCTCTTTCTCACATGGAGAAGGTTTGAGCATTAATCACCACGCTTGCTCAAGACGGGTTGGTGATTTCAAACTTATAATTGTGAAACTATGTATAAGTCCAGGTTTCCTCACGATGTTTTCCTTCACCGTATGTGAAAACAAAACAACAAAAAATAAACAACACTATACTTCAATGAAACTAATATTTTCGGATTTACTACACGTTTTTTATTTTTGACTATTAACTACATACTCTCGAAATTTCAGTTGTTTTTTAGCAACCGTGATCACGGGCAGACGAGATGTGAGTGTCACGGTTGCTGTAAAGTAGCCGAAACGTCGGGAGTATGTAGTTTATAGTCAAAAATAAGAACTCGTAATAAATTCGGATTTACTTTAATATTAGTTTCATTTAGATGAGTACTCGCGAAAATCTCGCTATATTTCACTTGATTAGATCGTGCAAACGATGTTCAGCTAAAAATTTATTTCGATTTAAAAGTTATAATGAGATCTGACACTTTTGCGAGTATTCATTTAAATAACTAATTTTTTTCCCTCTCATCTCGTCTGCCCGTGATCACGGTTGCTGAAAAACAACTGAATCGTCGGGAGTATGTGGTTTTTATAATAACAAAATACGCGTAGTATGATCCGAAAAATATTAGTTTCATTTAGATATATGAATATATTTTTATGTAATAAATATGTAGGATAAATTATAGGATGAAAGTTACAGTAATTAAGCGTTTGAAATTTAGCCAACATAACAATGATAGTTTTCACATTTTTCATTCGTAAACTATGGGGTAGTGACGGGACTTTATTTACTGATGTTTTAAAACTAATTGCCAAATTGACATTACAAACTTGAAGTACAGTTGGAGGTTGTTATTTGTTAAAATATATTTTCTGTTTAAAAGTAATATGGATCCTAACAATTATAACACCATAATATTTTAAGTGATTAGATAACTTTCATCATCATCAGCCTATCAGAGCCCACTGCTAAGGAAAGGGCTCTTCTCACATGGAGAAGGTTAGAGCATTAATCACCACGTTCGCTCAAGAATGGTTGGTGATTTCAAACTTTTAATTTGACATTACAAGTTCAGGTTTATTAAAATCAGTTCAGTGGTTTAGGCGTGAAAGCGTAACAGACAGACAGACAGAGTTACTTTCGAATTTATAATATTAGTATGGATGTAACTTTAACTTCATAAATAACAATGTTTAATTTGAGATGTTTCAAAGAAGGAAATAAGAGTAGAAAGACTCGATTCTATATAATACACACACACACACACACACACACACACACACACACACACACACACACACACACACACACACACACACACACACACAAACATATGTATTATACATATATACTAGTAATAGTACTTAACAATATGACTAACACATTTTTATGATGATAATGCTGTTTGACTCACCTCAAAGAAAAATATTTGAACAACAAAAAGTAGGTAAACAAACATCGTGTGTTATTGTTTAAAAATCGGTCAAACGTGAATTAAACAATACATTACATTCATCTCTGACCCACTTTTATATTAATATGTATATTTTATAAATATTTTTCATATAATATACATTTTTGAAGTAACTTTGTATGTTTTTGTATATAATTAATTTAAATTATCTCAGCTTATTTTAGTTTTTGATAGAATTTCCTTTATTTTTGATAAACCACGAAAATATATGTTTTTCTGAATAAACATTCATAGAGAAATAGTATATTCATTTTATACTAATGCCAACTTCATATAAAATCTTAAAACACAGGCAAAGTCGGTCGAAATCCTTGTTATATTAAAACGTGACTATTAACAATGAAAAGGTATCGAAGTTTTGTAATTTAAAATGTTTTTATATTGTCTTATATTTATTTAATACATCCGTTATTGTGAAAAGGACAACAGATAAACCATGTTAAAAAACGGAAAAACGGTTTGTTTAGGAGCGATTTTGAAACACAAAGTACTTGAAAGAGAATAATTATATAGGGTGGCAACCGGAGATTACAGGAAAACTACGAAATATACTTATATGTATATTATAATAAGAATTACATATTAAAACTTATAACCTACACCTAAGACTACATGATTGTCCCGATGTTATGATAGCAATACCATTCCATAGCTTGTGTGGTATCAGGAATCTTCTGGTTCACACGCTTGGTGTTCGTTCCGCGGAGTCAGCGGCGTCACTCGTTATATATTTTATACATACAACGATGTTGACCCGGCGATGTTCATTTATTTTTACATGTTGCGTGTACGTAACAGAATTATAATTAAAATTAATGATTATTGATAGAAAAGACATATATAAAGCTTTATTAAGTATATACATACTTATGATTTATTCCTAAAAAAAAAAACATTTTTTTTTATTGCACGTTAATTGTTCTTACTACAAGTTTAGTTTACTACATACAGAGCGTTTCACGTTTTTTATTATAATATCAAAAGAGGTTTATCAATAATACTGGAAACAAACGTATGTAGTGTGATGTATTGTATATAGGATAGTCGATTAATGATTTAAAGAAATAATTTTAAACACGTTGTTTTTAAACAAGTAAACGGCCTACTTGATGGAGGTAGTTACCATAGCCCATAGATATCTGTAACTTAGTTTTGCGTATGCTTTGCCACCATTGATTGGGGAAGAGGGAGAGGAAAGTGTGGGTTAATGGAAAGGGCAACCGTCTCTCTCACTCATCGGACGTAACGCAGCCATTAAAGACTACTTGACGCCGATCTTCTGTGAGAGGGTGGTACTTACGGTCGAGCCAGAACATGTTCAAGCTATAGTAACTTGACCACAGCTAGGCTCTACCACCTTGGCGTCTACTTAGATACTCTCTCTAAAACTGGATATCACTGAAATTAACTTTAAATACAAATAATTAAAATGCATCCTGATATTTAATCCGTCTTTTAGAATATGTTACATGCAAAAAAATCTCATCGAAATAAACTTTTTCTTATAGAATAATAAGAATTGAACAACAGTTAGCTATTCATACTTCAGCTAAGAAGTCGTTTTTAAGTAAAATAGGTATAAATAAATGAATCGTAAAACTTTCTTTGTCTCACCTGTTTTAAACAATGCAAAAGTAAAAATCAATCAATACTAAAAAAGTGATTTATAATTTTATATTAATATTAATATATCAAATTGAAAATCTCGCGAAAAATAACCGTAAAACCTATCTTTCATATACTGTTTCCCCAGAATAATCATAAGTTGGTACATTATAATCTTCTTTCTTGTTTTCTAACTCTTCTGATAGAACAATAACTGATTCTTCTTCATCACTCTCTTCTACTTGAGTTTTAACTATTTTTTCGTCTTCTTCATCTGATTCTGATGAACTATCCTAAAATTATTTGGTAAATATTTTGGTAAGTATGCAAGTACCTTCTAAACCACAAATATAAGAGATAGTAGAATTTGTAACATAAATTTTATTTTAATGTGGGCGTGCATCTGATAAAGACCTATTTATTTAGATTTACGACGAACAAAAATTAAGAAATAAATAATGAAACGATTTTATATTTTTCTGATTGAAGTTAATGTCAAAATGATCAATCCACAAAATAATTCACGAACTAGAATTTGTTTGAAAAATATTAGGCTTATCATAAAACTAATTGACCCAAAAATACTTGAAAGAAATCTTTTGATCCATCCCAAAAGTACTCGAAGGTTAAATTCTAGGAGTTTTTATGGATCATAAGATAGACAAAAATCTTTACTTACAAATAGTAGAGTCCCATTGAGAGGAACAAATGGCTTTTTTTGCATCACCAAATAGGGCTTCGCGGATATAGAAAATTGACCACCTGGGCTTGCGCTGTACGTCCGTAATATTGAACCCGTAGCTCTGGAATTCCAATTCTCTGCCAGTGACATCTGCTGGAAGAAAAAATACATAAAAATGTGCTATTTTTGGTAGTTATAAAAAAAATATAATGACCTGGATTAAAATTAAAATATACATAGGAATCGTTCGCATCATTTCAGAGTGTATATGTATATGAACAATATATTACTACGGTTATATACATATATATATCCTTATTTATCAATTATGATTCATTTCTCAGTTTTATTTAATCAACACGTTTATTTTAATGCGTCAATTACACTTTTATCTCACCTGAGAATACAAAGAAACAACATTTAAGTCCACAAATATCACTTCCTTACATATCAATTATGTCCTTATGTTTATTTCTCTACAAGTTTTAAAAATCATAAAATGCACAAAAACTTAAACATAATTAATTAGCCATTAGTGAGGCGTCTGGTCGACAAGTTGTAAACGCGTGAAGCGCGGCAAATTTTAATTTAATGAAATGTTATTTCAGTTATATACCTCTTTATTTTAATATCAATTATAAGAAAAGTTATTTAATTATAAATAAATAAAACTAGAATAAAGTTTAAATGTTTTTTATATTTACTAGATAGCTCGATTATTTTTGTAGTGAAATTTCTTGTGACTTCAACAAGGTTGCGTTAAACGTTTAACGCTCCGGGGGGGATAAAAACCAGAACGAGAGGGAATGCGTATCGCTCGAACGCATGAGGCCATCAATAGTGACTTGTAAGTAATGTTAATAAAGTTTGTTTTAATGAAACACTAACAATTCATTAAAAATAAATTTCTATCACTTCCTGTATTTATACCAACACTAGCTTTCCGCCGTGGAGTTCAGTTATATCGCGTTTCCATCAGAACCTTTCAAAAGTCTGGGATAAAAACTATCCTATGTTCTTTCTCAAGGTCTCAGGCGTGAAAGCGTAACGGACAGACAGACAGAGTTACTTTCGCATTTATAATATTAGTAGGGATTACGAAATTTCAATTCTTCTGGGAGGAGGGACTACACGAGCAAGTAATTTCTTTTCATTCAATATTATTATAAACTAATTCTAGTAATTTGATTTCTGTATTTCATTATTATAAAAATAAAGTTTTATGTATCGTCATCGTCATCAGCCTATCAGCGCCCACTGCTCTGCCCAGAGCAAAGGCCTCTTTCTCACATGGAGAAGGTTTGAGCATTAATCACCACGCTTGCTCAAGACGGGTTGGTGATTTCAAACTTATAATTGTGAAACTATAAGTCCAGGTTTCCTCACGATGTTTTCCTTCACCGTCTGTCAGTGATGTCTAAATACTGTCAGAAAGTACATATGATTCCGAAAAATCACATTGGTACTTGCCAGGTTTGAACCCGCGCCCTCGGCAACGAGAGGCGGACCCTTTAACCACTGGGCCACCACTGACTCAGTTTTATGTATACTACCTAATAATTTTTTAAGACATTATAACCAAAGATTAAACAAAAGATCATGTTAAATTGTGGTTAAAAGTTAAGTTAAATATAAATTTTAAGTTTTGCTTTTATTTTTATTTTACATATTTTCATTATTACGTGTATTTTGGTTGAATAAATAAATAGTATTGTTTATATATAACATAACTTTATATACTATAATATTTATAAAAACTACATATTAATGAGGGCTATCAATATTGAAATAATAAAAGAAGTAATAAATAAATAAATTTTATTTACATTCACATATTGTTAATCATTACATTTACATTTGCACATATTACATTTTATTTTCATTTAAATTTACACGTATTTTATAACAAATAGTTTTGAATGTAATTATGTGGCAGAGGACCAGGTTGAGTTATTTGATTCCTAACCAATCCAATATTCGACATTGGAGAAAATATATTGTTATTCAATGAGGAATCTATATAATTATTCGATAATAAAGAAGATAGTAACTTGCTTATCAAATCTGTGGATCGGCATTTTGGTTTTGTATAACAGTTTTGTCTGGCAAATACGTTCAAATTATTAGTAGGTACAATTCCATTGAATGGTAAATTCTGCAAGCCATTGTTTTGGTAAGCAATTCTTTTTATAATAATATTATTCGGCTGTTGGAGGAGATTATTATATAATATATCAGCTACTCCATTCTGTTGTAGTAGGTTATCAGGTAATTTCGTGCATCCACAGAAGTTCGGTTGAAAAATTTGTTGATTGACAATCGGTAGGTTGAAACAACCGCATTTTGAAGCCACTGGTATCATTTGACTAGTGATCATCTGTGAAATAAAATATAAAAATATATATAAGATTAAAATTTTGTACTGTATGTAATAAATGTTACGTGAATTTTAATATTTTTTACATTTAAATGATTTTATATTAATAATTTAAACAAAAACTATATAATTTTTTTCAGCCTATCAGAGCCCACTGGTGAGCAAAGGCCTCTTCTCACATAGAGAAGGTTTGAGCATTAATCACCACGCTTGCTCAAGACGGGTTGGTGATTTCAAACTTATTATTGTGAAATTATAAGTCCAGGTTTCCTCACGATGTTTTCCTTCACCGTCTGTCAGTGATGTCTAAATATTCTTAGAAAGTACATATGACTCGGAGAAATCACATTGGTACTTGCCAGGATCGAACCCGCGCCCTCATGTATGAGAGGCGGGCCTTTTAACCACTGGGTCACCACTGACTTCAAACTTTATAATGTTGAAAGTCATTTATTCTCTAATAAACTAAATAAATAGTTAAATTTTACTTAAAACAAAATATTGCTCGTTACCTTTGTAAAACATATTTGTAATAAAAATAACAATAATATATACATTTTAAATATTTAATATGTAATGAAATTTTTTTTAGTCTTCGACGTTTTATAAAGCATTTCTTATCTTGATTATTTCAACGTAGAGATTTCAGATAACGGGAGATAAAATTAATATGAATGAATATTATTTTGTTATATAAATAGTTTTATTAAATATCTGAGATTTTCGAGTGTACACATATAAATACTACGCGTTAGACACTTTCACCTCGTCTTAATGATCAGGGTTGCTGTAAAGGAACCGAAACGACGGTATCATGTAGATATGGAAGAATAAAAAACACGTAGTATACGAAAAACAGCTTCATTACCGAAAGAATGGTTTTTTTTTAATATATTTATTTATATATATTTCATAAAAAAGGTTCCAACCTATTGGTTCTATGTATTATAAATCTTATTAAGTATATCCTAATATTATTATGAAATTTTATAACAGTTATTTTAATCCTTATTAATATATCTATTATATTATTATATAACACATACTGACTATATTAAATCAGTGCAATATTACAAGTTAAACAGTAATCTCCTTATTAAATGTTATTAAATTTAACACATGCTTTTTGTAATAAAAGTGTGTTCTTGTTCATGTTTTAAAAACAATTTTTCCAATTTCACCACCATACACCGTGCGTGTGTCGGGTCCATCGTTGTAGTGAGAGGAGCTTCAACAGTGACTGTGACCCAGGTGTAGGTTTAAGGGGACCCCTATCTAGTGCGTTGAACACTCACCTCCACCGTTCAAGCTCCTCTCTACCTAACAAAAGTTTAAACGTAGGTCTGTTTAGCTCATTACAGGGAAAACTTAATTGGTTTCTTTTATATCAGAAAACACCAGGTTCTCACAACATTTTTTCTCCGTTTTGAACACTAGAAGTACTGTGTCTTGCTAACGATAGAGATTATAGCTTTCATCTGTATAGTAAATACCTCAACACTGCATAAGGCATTCAGAGAAGGCTTATTGTAGTAAAATATTTTGACTAAATATTTTACTAATGTATAATTATTATTAAAGTTATTTCTAGATAATTTTTGATAAAAACAAACTCGCGTTTCGGCTTATACCTATATAGGTATACATCTTTTACAATAGACTAAAATAAATTTACATTCTGCATAAAAATGAACTTAGATTATTTTAGATGCAATTTTTATTCAAATGAATTTACGCTTGATAACTGTGTAATGCCATATTATCCTTCTATCTGTAGTTTTAAATACGGTCAAGTTTTCACTAAATAAACTGAAGAGTTAGGCGGTTCGGTTGTATTAAATAACCTTAATTAAGAACTGTATTCATAAGTTTCTTTTTATTTATTGACAAATGAAAGGGTAGTTTTGAGAAGATAGCTTCTTCTTTTGTAGTTGAGTATTTCCAAAACAGGTACTTTAACTATTCTCTAAGTATTCCGACTGCTTCATACAAATTATAAATTTCTTTCGTACTGTCTATGTATGAGTGTAACTTTTTACAAATCAGCATAAGTGACAATTTTTGTCTTCGAAAATCATCAAAATAAATATTAAATTTATATTTTTCATTCGGATTCTTTTAATTTGTCACTAAGGAACACAGACGTTGATATATTTAATAAAAGAGGAGGATAATTATTATAATAGTTTTTATTTTAAATATACAATAAATAATTTATAACTATATTCTAAAAGCTAAGTTTGTCAAGTCATTCAGCTTATTGGGAGCCTTTTTGCTGTGTTTGGCTCATTCAATCTGAAAGCATTATTTCCTCGATGTGATTTATTTAAAACATTTGCAGCAAGAAGATTTTTTATAGCTGATTGTTTGAAATATTGCTCCATGAATTGTCTCTTGCTTAATCTTGATGGTCTCCTAACTCTTTGAGGGCCAAATCTGTTTGTAGGGACCAACATAGTTCTTGGAGACAAAGTTTTAGTCGCTCTACCCAATGGTGTATTATATGCCTTCGTCGCCATCTGTGCTTGCGTCAATTGAGTAGAATGCTGGCATAATGTGTGCTGAAAAGAATTCTATATTAGAACAATAAATAGATATTTAAATTAATTATAATAAAACTTACAGATATTGTACAGAAAAGACAAATTAGTGATATAGTTTTATACATCTTGACAATTGAGATATTAATAATCATTAGTTTTAATGCAGTCTTTTTATGTGTTTCATTTTATCTGAGTTCTCTTATCGTAAATGATCTTGATGTAATATTATTTTATTTGTAATTTGAAAACGCTTTTTATCTCATCTCAATTTATTGATATCTCTGATAACGATTAGAAATACAGTTTTGAGATTTCTTTTTACTGTTTTTATTAAAATATCCTCTGAATTTTATATAGTTATTCATTATTATTTTGGAATATAGCAACACCGTTCAGTGGCTCGTTTTTTAATGTATACGGAAATTTTAATTCTTTAAATGTATTTATTATTCTTGTGAATAATTTAAATGTAAATAAAAATGTCGTGTAGGTACTATATTGAAGTTAATTTTACAAGATCAGTTCATATTTGAGTTATAAAATTGACTCGTAAATTTAAAGTTCTAGGTACCTTTTTTCTAGTGCCAGAAAAATAAATTTTACTAATTTTTTACAAATATATTTTTTTGAATTCCTTAAAATGGTATTATTATATTATATGATTGTCCTACTCTTTATTATACTGTTGACTATATTATTGTAGGGGAGGCAAAGAAGTTATTTGGGAACTTTTTAAAAGGCGGCAGATTAATACCTATATATGACCGAGAGTCCAGAATAGAGGATCAGATTAGTAAAAAAAATGTTCATAAGACATTCTTGAGCAGGTCAGATTAGTTAATTATATGATAAAATTGTATATACCATTAATCTGACAATTTGAGAGTAACGTAAAGAAAGGAGAGGGCTACGAAGTGGTAAAAAAATACTCTCGACATTGAGCATGGCTATTTTATTTAATTTTTTGAAGGAAATAATTTTAATGCAATATATAATCTGACAATTTCCACTAGGGAAAGTAACAAAAATTCTTTGATAAAGTTTAATGAGTACTGCTGCCTGATTCTACATACTCCTATGTGCATTTTTATTTCAGGTTGGGGGAATGTTTTCAGATAATGTTCAGCGCGTTTAGGACTCAAAGATGAATCATATTATATATCTTAATTTGACGTGCTTGAGTATATGAAAATTCCGAATTTTAGTGTGCAAATTCTTATTTAGTTCGTCAGATTATTAGAGATTCACGTAATATTACCCTAAAAATTGACGAGCTTATTTTTCATATTCAATCCTTACGTACAACCACAATCATTCAATTAATCAGATTAATATACGTAGATTATTTAATATCCGTAGGAAATCTGACGAGCTCGAGTATATCCAAACTACAATATTTACAAATCTATAGCTGCTCCCCCCACTGATTTGAGGATTTACATCATATAACATTTTTTTAATATATTATCTAAGCTTTGCATCCCAGTAAGTCTAAATAATGATCGAGTAAATCTTTATTTAGCGTCGTCGGCTTTCCTACTGTAATAAACATTTGTCGATGTCACCTAGACGTGACTTGACTTTATATTTGCGAATGAATAATACCTTTACACATTATTTTACATAGAATTGAGCACGGTATTTGTGACTGACGGGATATATGCTAAATAGTAATGAAAAAAAGAGGCAGTGATAGTCTGAAAGTACAAGATCTGCTTATTCTTCTATGGTATTTCCCTTTATCAACTATAATACTCTCTTCTCCCGAAGGGACCTTAAATTCTCCACTCTGAAATTAACAGCTTTCTTGGGACATTTTACATAGCCCCAGACTGATATACGGCTTACTTACATACTTGGGTAACATAGGACTATGAACTTTATTTGGCTCTTGCCTATTTTATCGTCTGTATAATGCTAAATTTTTCTTTACCCACGACGTTTCTTAAAAAACATTAAACAGGAAACTCATCCACAATTTAGCCAACATTACATTAGACTAAAGTTTTTGCAAAGTCTTGGTTGCAAGAGAGAAGCTAGTCCCGTTGTTGATTGGGAAAAAATAACTTGTCAGTTTTCATTAATTTGAAAGAAAGTAAATGTATTGGGTTTTCCTTGTATAACCATTTTGGAAAAAAAGCTTATGTTATATAGAAATAAAAGAATAAAGATTTTTTTATTAATTTAATAAGTTATATAAATGGGGGTGGAATGGGAACACGTTTGACAAAAAGACTATCACATTTATCCAGTTGAGCTGGTGGCAGGAACTTTGAGAACGGTGCAATCGCTGACACTGGCGACGCGGCTGGCAGAAGAGGACTCACTGGCAGATCTAATTTCACCACTTCATTGGCACAACCATACACGCTTAGAATAGGGTCCAAACATCCCAAAGGAGATGCTAAGATATCTTTGAAACAGAAATCGTTACAGTTCTGCAATTCCGTAACGAATGGCATTACTGGCACGGCGGGAACATTCACTGGCATGGCCGTTTGTGTTATAATGACTTCGGGACATAGTTGTCTATTACCCAAAAATGGCTCAGCTATCACGACTGCTTGATTTAAATTGGGCCATCTCAGTTGTGCTGGCATTTCTCTGAATTGTGATTGGATCTAAAAATATTCATTATTAGTATAGATTAAATTAAAAAAGTCAGTACATACTCACTTAGTAATTATATTCATAGCGTCATTGATTATATGTTTCCATTCATTTATAGACAATTTAATTAAATTGATGGTTAACTTATAATTTGTTTTGTTATAGTTATTTTCTAGTAATAACGATAATCTTTATGATAAAATTTTGTACATTACTTCAAAACTTCTTTACAAGTCTCAATTATAATGCAGTTAATTTATTTGCATTAAAAAATTCTTACATTTATGTTAATAAAGATATCAATAAATTTACTTACACCAGCTGATAAAGATACAAGCAGTAAAATAATTCCGATCATTTTCCCCATATGTCTAAAATATTGACTGAATTTTGATGCTTTATGTACCAGAAATTTATCAGTTGTTCGTGTTTTTTCAGATATTGGTACAGTTATTTGTAAAGAAATTACATTAAAACATATATATGTTACAATACTTTCATAACTATTTTCTATCATGACATAGTTTTGAAACTATTTTCCATATTTTTTCTATTTATTAAGAGTTATGTCAGTTTCGTCACTTTTAAATTAATATTATTGTTTACCATATTTTTATTTAGTTTGTCAATATTTTTGAGTGCAATAAAAATAATCATAATTTAAAACATCATATATTTATATACTTACAAAAGTTAAATTATACTATGATAATATATAATTACAAAGTCGGTGGCGGTATGGGAATTTTTCTTAAGAAATGATGCCTGTTTTGGCTTGGTATGACGGGAGGGAGTAGATTTGATGTTGGTGGTGCCAACGCTGATACAGGAGATGCTGCGGGGAGAAATGGACTAACCAAAGCTGCAGGTTCACGGCACGGACAAGGTTCTTGTAGCACAGGCGGAGCAGGATACGGGAGCGTAATTTCTGGCACTGGCGGAAATACCACTGGCCTTTCCGGAAATACCACTGGCCTTTCCGGAAATGCCACTGGCCCTGACGGAGCAGCCAATGGCGGTTGGATAAGAGGTACATTTGGTACAGTCATGTAGGGTGATGGAATTGTAGGAATTGCTGGTATTGTTGGTATTTCTTGGATCCTCTGATACATGGGTTCCGTTTGGCATGGGCATTTTGGTTGAATGGCTCTCATGTTTGGCATTCCGTCACGTGCCATTAAAGTGTTTGGCATACCCATTTGATTTCTTGTAACAACTTCCGCTATTGGCTTTCTTTTTGATGCAATTAGTCTCTCGTTTGCGGGGCCTAGTATATTTTGGATACCTGACATATATGGCGTTTTTGGGGATCGTCTTTGGTATCTTGCGTAAGTATTATCAGACAACGCCAATGTTAGCATAAAAGATAATATAAGGTAGTTCATTGCAGCTGAAAATTTTAAGTTATAAATATGAGTATTTATAATATTCGTTAAATTTAATAATACTTAGACACCGGCTTACCAGAAATATTTTTGCTGATCATCTTTCTCCAGATATCCAAATCCTTTATGATGCCCGCCTTCAATAAATATCAAGTGATACACATTTTACCTATTCTTATATAAAGTATTATAATGTAATAATTTATCTCAGAAAAATTTTCAAGACCAAATAACGTAATTGTTATCTCCCTAGATTGTTATCGTTGGAATCAAATGAGTTACTAATAAAATTTTACTCAATTTCTGATGTAACTAACTTAATGAATAAAATTTAAATTTCTTGATGTTTTTTAAACGAAGTTTAGTCCGTTAGAGGGGTCAATAATTATGTAGAAAATACAATTTGTTATATATTTGTTTTATTTCACAAATTAACAATTTTGATAACAACAACAAAATAACAAGCTATTTTTGGATCAATCTATTTGTGCTTTACAAAAATGGTGGAGGTATGATAACTTGACGTAAATATTTCGAACAGCCAATCACTGGCGGCAATGGCGGAATTGTCGCTCGGGAACAAATTAAATCGTATCTATCACAAGAACAATCGCAGACAGGGGTAACTATATCTATGGCGTTGGTTGGATACATATAATCTGGTACAAAAGGCGTCCTACATATATCAACACCATCACTCACATAATTTATGGCGGAATATCCGCATTGAGACTGATATCCGCACGAATCAATAATACCACATCCGCAGGATGGTATTATTGGCGGAAACAATGTCTCCACGAGTACGCCGTTGACCTAGAAATATATAAATTATTAGAATATATACTTATAAATAAAGATGATCCACAGTTAAAATGTATGTAGCGATTTTATTTGTGCAAAATATTACAGTAGGAATTTTTATTTGTGGTAACACTTGATAAAAGTCAAGTTTTATGAAATTCGTTAAAGATTCAAGCATGTTTTTTTTATCTCTAACATATAAATTACAACTATAATTTCAAACGAATGTTAAATTATCAATTTCACCACATGCTACCCCATATTGTGAGTGGTCTCGTCTCTAAATACACATGGGATATTCTTTAAAACTTTTATGTTTCATAAAAATTACTTACACTTGTCAAACCGAGTACAAAAACCACTGTGTACCACATTGTAACAATGACACAATTACAGAATCCACACACCTTTTATAAAATATGTTAATATTACGCAAAACATTATTTTTATTTTAAAACGACAAATCCTCACGATTTAGAAAAAAACAAATAGTTACATGCTCTATCTATTTAGTAAGGAAAAGTATATAATTTACTATATAATGTTTTAAGGACAGAAATATTGGAGTAATTACAATTAAAGTCTCCAGTCTGAGATTGCTCTAGACTTCTAGTTAACTATCGAGACTTAAGTCTGGAAGTCTAAATATTTAGAGGAATGAAATAACTTTTATGTATTATTATAAGAAAAACAGAAATAAAACAATATAACAACTCTCTTAACACTTTATTTGTAATAACATAGAGCTATTGTAGACTGGCTTCAGTTTATAAGTAAAACAATGTTTTGTTAAGTTTTTAAATTGAAAACAATAAAAAATATTAACTTTTAATGAAATTAAGGTATTGTTGAATCATATTAATACAATTTTTCATATTATTTAAATATATTTTTTGGAAAATAAACAAGTGATAAATATGGCAAATATTTATTACACTAAGTTTATATAACTACATACTAATCGAATAAACAAAAAAACAATCAGAAGCCTGAGTCTACAATGGCTCGAAATATAAGTCAGTTAGCAAAACATACACACAGACATATTGACAAAAACATTTTTTATTTATATATATGTAAATGCTTGTAAATGTAAGTTACAAATGCTCTCATTATGTTCCATTTAGAGTTAAAATAAACTCTCTATATATAACAATGAACAGTCATTACAGTTTGTGTATATTAATTTATTTAGTATCTTTTTTAATCAAACCTTTTTATGTGAATCATATACTTAGAAAATCTATTTATACAATTTACACTCAAAACCTATATCACATAGGGTTGCCATATACAAATCAGGAAGATTTGGCATAAATACAATTTATTCCCATAGAAATAATTTTTAAGATTTTTTTAATGTCAAATGGCAACCCAGTATCATTGTTTTTACATCAGTTGTTTGTAACCGGAGGTGGTTTGCCGCTAGCTAGTACTTTTTTCATGGCTTTCATCATTCCAGGTATTAAACCTATGTGTTTGTCCACACACTTCACTGCACAGTTTTCAAACTGTATGGTTGCTTTGTCAATCTGAAATTTATAAAATTTTCATAATTATTTTATAATAAATGAATTCTACTAATTCGAAATAATGGTGGTAGTGGTTAAAAGCCCCGCCTCTCGTGCATGAGGGCGCTGGTTCGAAACCTGCCAAGTACCAATGTGATTTTTACGAGTCATATGTACTTTCTAAGTGTATTTAGACACCACTGAATGATGAAGTAAAACATTGTGAGAAAACCTGGACTTGAGCAAGCATGGTGATTAATGCTCTAAGCTTATCCATGTGAGAAGAGGCCTTTGCTCAGTAGTGGGCACCGATAGTATAAATTTTCTATGACTTATAATAATTTGAGAAACTAGTACATATTGAGGTATTTTAACTTCATATTATGTTAATACCAAGTTAATAATATTTGTATCTTGTACAACATTTCTTCATAATATTTATAATATACATTATCTTGTGGGTAGTTTTTATTACTTATTATTATACTCACAGTATCCTGGCTGGGATCGGGGCCGAGCCTGTCTCTGGCCGAGTCATTACAATCCATCACACAACGTTGAAGTCTATTTTGAAGATGATTAATTTCATTCTAAAAAAATTAATGATTTAATATATTTATATGGCATTAATTTAATTTTTAACAACTATTGGTGGATGTAAAACTATTATTTAATATACATGATTATAATTTATATATATTTTTGTATATTGTTGTATTTAATTCAATAATTTTTGTGATATGTACTGAATATAATATACCATAATGTATCCACATTACACTTGACCTCATGTTTTTTAACATTGAAAATGCTTATCATTCCCAGCTATATTAAAAATTTGGTACTATTTATAACTATTTAGTAGTTCTAGCTTCAAATATAAACAAACATACATAAACCCATAATATGATTATAAAAATATAATTGTTTCTACAGCACTAAAATATGTTGATATATACATATGTATAGTATATAAGTAAATACTTTTAACCTATCACTAGTTTTAAGTTTTTAAGAATATACATATATACAGGGTGACTGGTGAATTACTATCGATACTTGAGGACGTGATTTGACGATCATATATGACAAAATAAAAATTAATATAACATAAATATTAATAAACTTCTAAGTAAAGTTAACCAAAAGTTATGTAATTAATTACGCATCGTGTGAACACCCTACAGATTAGGTATACACACACACACACACACGCGTGCGGCGGCGTGTTGTTGTATCAGCACACCGCCGCAAGCGTCCACACTTGGAACACTTGGAACATGTCAACACTTTATTTATTTATACGGAAATTTTGTCAAAAATTAAGTGCCTATTTTTTTTACATAATTCGAATGAGAATCATGTACCGAGTATGCTCCTTAAATATTGATAGTAATTCACCAGTCACCCTGTATACAATTACCAATTCTTGTATATGAGGAATTTAAGTCAATTTATCTGTTAATCAATTAATATGTTATTCAAAAAATAATATCTATCACAATAATTGCTACAAATAAACATTTTATGTTACATAGAAACTTTATTAATGAATTTTCTATCAAACTTACTTGTACATAATTATTGGCCTGATTCAGCGGTGTCGTACATTTCTCAATACACCCATGAACTCTTTCTAACGATGATTGCTGATCATCGCAGCAGTTTGCAGCACATCTGTGCATATCACCCTGAAATATATAAATGTGTGTTCAGATATTATAATTTTCTCATAAGTTTTAATAAAATATATCACAAAGATGGTATATATATTTATCACAGACTGTCTTTATTTATTTTCATTTGGTAATTTAAGTGTTTTTAAATATCTACTACAATGAGATACATATTGATTTTTGTATAGTGTAATTAGAAAAATATAAACCTAGATTCCTAATAAATAACTAATCATTCCTAAAGAGTTTTGCCTTTGTAAGGTCAGAAATATATTCTCTATATAAAAAAAAAACATTGTGATAATCTAATTGGAAAATTAAATGCATTGTAATATAGGCTGTACAAATAAATTTTGATATGCTATATATATTTAACAATAACTAATGGTTCCTACTTGTAAATAACTTAAGCGTCATCATACTTTAATAATTAAATAACCCGCAAAAAGTTGCATAAGCATCACATGATACACATAACCTATTACCTGCATCTTTCTCAAATAACTCCTGTCTAACTCATTAACAAGATTTGTCATTTCCTGTTCTATCCTGTATTTCTGAGCTTCAACCATTTTGAATGTTTTTAATATTATTTATTTAACAAATTATATATTTCGGTTTAGCAAGCGGAATTTTTGACATACAGTGACTTTGACTTAGATAACTGATAATAAATATCTGACAGTTGAAGTTTTTTTTTCATTTGAGCACATGATATTAATTTATTCATCCTATATTGATTGTTGATTTTTATTTATATTTAAATCGTAAAAATTACAAATAAAATGCATAATCAATTTTAATTAATATTTTAAATATTTCCAGTATATAAATGACACTTTTGGTCGTACAAGTTAAGTTTAAGAATAGACAAATGTTCATTTGTAGGTAGGTATTTTTATTTATAAAACAATAGGTTTAGCTAGGCAATAAATTGATGGTTCTAGAGGTGTTGCCAATTTTACACATGAACACGGTGAAGAGACGGGTACATATGCATCGGAAATTTCATAAAGTGGTCCATAATCCAGAAAAATCTTTTCGTTATAGGCCTTCGCCACCGCGGGCAGCGCTGCCTGGCTGAATCCTAAGCCGTATGGCAGCTCAATTGATTGTGGAGGGAGGATCAGTTCGTCACATCTTGAAGGTTCCCGAACGCATGGTATAATACGTTCGTTAATACATGACCAGGGGACAGAATATATAGATTGAACATATGTGAATGCAGGGCCAACCTAAAAATAAAAAAATATAAAGTAATAAATAACTTTGACAAAGTATTAAATAAAGACACATTCAAAACTGTTATTTTAATTTAAAAATTGTTAATACTTATTTCTTGTATATATTTTTTAATCAATAAACGAAAATACTTATTTACTTACTAAACCCAATATGGCTGCGAACCGAATGATGTAATTGAGGTCCATTGTAAATAATAATAATATACATAAAACATTCATTATAAAGGATACATTGCGTTATAAATGCTGGCTATCGTTTTAAATAAATTTCTCAATCATTGCTTTCGACATTATAAAAAGTATTTATATATAAAAACTTTAAAAAATAAAAAAAAATCATGGAGGTATCCAAAAATTTTATTAATTGCAATATTATGTTTAGTTTATGTAATTACATCATAGATATTACGAAAAATGACGATAAAAATACAATTGAATTTAAATCTGATACGACACGGAATATAGATAAAAAATTAATAAATAGTCAACGTATGTGTTCTTAAATTGGACAATCGTATTATCTGTTAAAGTTTTGAGTTTTATTACAAAAAACATGTTCAAATTGTGTATAATCTGTTTGGCTGCTATACAAATTCAAGTAAATATTTATATTTCATTTTAAGATTACATTTTTAATCTATATCACATAGATCATGTGTCAATACATGCTTTTTAAAAACAAACGATAATTGTAGAAACAAAAATAAATAGAAATTATTTGTTTTAAAACAGACACTAAATATCAAAGATTAATTCCATTTTAACATCAATATGCTCTTGTAATGGATAGATTATTCTTATTTTCATTCTTTTACAGGTAGCCATGTCACAATGCGTGGGTAGACAGATACCATACAAAACACAGATACCAGAAACGGTTCTGGAATCGCCTGGAAACTGCCAGCAGATGCAATTACCTCCAGCTGTTATCGAAAACACTCCAATTCCAGCCCAAACCCAGCAACATGTCACTCTAATAACGGATTGCACGCCGTCAGTATGCAAGAACTTGGCAAACACGATACAATTAATGATCGTTGTAGATCTACTTAAAAATGGGAAAGGCTCGCAGGAGCCAGTGGAATTGGCTTTATCCTTGCTTAATGATATAACTAACTCTCCAACATCTCCTTGTGGATGCACAAATCCATTTTTCTCCAATTCCATTTCTAGTTTTGTGCCAACAAATCCGAATATTATTCCATCTATTGCCCCAAAACTCAATCAGAACTCTTTCTTTCCAAATTTTATACCTTCCAACGCTATTTCTGGATTAATTCCAGGTATCACACCTTTCACTGGTAGAATTAATCCAAATGCTCTATTCTAAGATCTATCCTTGTGTTATATAGTAGTATAATAATTTATTATGATGATAAAATAAAAGTATATTAAAAATTGTTGTAATTTTATTTCTAATGTTTGATACTAAAAGAGAAAGAACAGCAAATAATTGTGTCAGATGGACATAAACAAACGTTAAAATTCTCGTCATATATAGTTTTACTTTATTTGTATAGTTTAATTTTTAATCTTTTATTCTTTATTAGAAAATAAAGAATTATTCATTGTCTTTTTCCCCTAAAATATAGTTCGTATAAACGTTTATCCGGAATTATTTCTGTTATAGAAATCCATAGTATATTTTTCCACTGTATGAGTTCTGAAAACATTATTATGAAATAAAGAAACTATAAGTAACATATTAATATTAAAAACCATGCATGCATACAAAATAAAATAAACAACTTATACATATTCGTTTATTCGCAAGCACTTCTTATTTAATTTTAATAAAAAATTGTACAAATACGCGGTGTCATAAAACCTAGGTAATTTAGCAGTCCTTCAAAAGGTTTAATTAATAATAAAAGTTTGGAAAGTTGTTAAAATAAGTAGATTCCAGAGGCAATGGTTCTACGTTAAAATTTATACACGGGAAGGAGTTGCTATATCCAATATTACACTTTAGCTGGGCTGGTATACTCGGAGGAATCAACATTTCCGCAGATAAAGGCCCATAGGGTCCAATGGGAGTTATAACCTCGTTAGGGAATGGTCCAAATGGATTTGGAGAAATTATTTCACCGCAAGGAGTATAGGGTACAGGAGAAATAACTTCTGGCAAATTGCCGTAACAGTTTTGGCCAAAAGATGGAATGACTTCGGAAAAACCTGGCATGAAGTTATTCGGGATTATCATCTCCGGAATCCCAACGCCGTAATTGGGCAGGAGAGGTGGCATCAACTCAGTATTAAGAAAATTTGGATTACAAGGTCCATTTGTTAGTACCTCGGGTAACGCACCGAAATAATTTGGTCCAAAACTTGGTAATGTCACAGGAGCTATTTCCTGTAAGCCATATATATTATTTGCACAGCCACAAGGCGATAAAGAACCACAGCCACAGGTTTGTGGCGAAATAATTTCTGACACTCCACCAAATACAGGGTTGAATACGTTTGTGGTAACTTCTGCGCACGGTGTTACTTTTTCTGTCCAACCATTATAGCAGTTAGGGACAAAAGTCTCCGTAATATATGTATTAGTGTTAATTGGATCAGGATAACCTCTCACTATGGGTGTTAAAGTCTCTGTGACTCCACCATAAATGTTCGGAGTTATAGTTTCCAATATCCCTGCTGGAGAAACTATTTCTGCTGCAGCGCATGGGGAAATAACATCAACAGCTGCAAAACCAGGTGTAATTGTTTCAACGGCCCCATTTAATAGATTTTGAGCACAATTTCCTCCTAATCGGGATTGGATAAGATCGCTGACTATAAAGAGTTGAAGAGCGTTTGCGAGAGCATTGGAAACTGAGTTATCTACTATTGTGGTGGCAACTACAGGTGAAGTGATGACTTGAGGTGTTGCAGGTGAAGCGAACGCTGGCAGAGTACTGCTTACACATAGCTGTGACTGGACCTGGAATTATAAACAAGTTTGTTACAATCTTTTTCATTCTAAAATCAATTCTATTCAAAATACATGACGTCATTAAAAGGCAATAAAATGTACACAGATTTTTCTTTTCATAATCTATGGATATATTTTTTATGGAAATTGGATTAATGATTATTTTATCATATTTTTCCATAAAAATATGTTATTAAATACGTGAAAATAAAAGAAAACAATATAATAATTACATCTCCATACCGTGTAACAAGAAGCGAAAAGGAGTAATAATATTCTGTACACCATTTTGTGGAAACTAAACTAACTGTTGGACATCACTATTTATATGTATTTATGTTACAATAAATTGTTTCAAAATTAATGTTTGCAATGCCTTGATTAAAATATTACTTGAAACACGATAATTATTGATAAATATTTTATTTGAATCATTTCTAAACAATATTACCTATTATTATCTTTTACGTTACTTTTTATACATATATTTTTAACTCTTTTTAGGTTTTCATTAGGAACAAAAGTATTTAGTATGTAGCGAAAGACATTAGAAATTATATTCAAACATATACTTATGTATATTTTAAGAACGATAAAAATGACGAATCTACAAAGCTAGGCATTTGAAATATCTCCTCGTAAAACATTTATATGGATTTACAGCGCACATCAATGTTGGATTTCAATTTCGAATGTGACAGAAATATAGCTGTAACATTCAGTTTCAATGTTTGTTTCTAAACTGAACCCTTAGTAATGGTTTTAAGCGTCAATTTTGTACAAAAAGGTTGAACGAAATGAATGAAATACATTAATAATATTAGTAATTAGTTTAATTTTATACTTTTATAATCAAATGATATGAAAATCAAGGTAGGTAATAAATAATAATAAAATTGACAAACGAGCAGACGGTCTACTTGATGGAAAGTAGTCACCGTCACCCAAGGACATCTGCAACATACGGGATGTTGTGGAGGCGATGCTGACTTTCATTTTTGAGGAAGAGGAAGGACTGGGAATAAGGAAATAGAAGGAATTAGGAAACGGTGGGAAAGGGAAAGAGTAACCGTCTCTCTCACTCATCACGAAAAACAGCCATTAAAGACTACTTCACTCCGCTTTATGTAAGAAATATTTATTTACAAAACAAAGACTTCAGTATCGCTTCAGTATAAAGCCAATAAAATAATGTAGTATTAGACATAAAATGCAGTTTTTCTTGGTATATATTATCTTTAAATATCTGTTAGTGGCAGATTATCCGTAAATTGCAAGTAATTAAATTACTTTAGTGTATTATAATTATTATATAATGTTTAAAAAATCAGTGGTGGCCTAGTGGTTAAAAGGCCCGCCTCTCATGCACGAGGTCGCGGGTTCGATCCTAACAAGTACTAATGAGATTTTTCCGAGTCATATGTACTTTCTAAGAGTATTTAGACATCATTGACTAATGTATTCCCAAAGAGGGTTGATGTCAGGCAGGCGGGCCGGTGGTAAAAACAATTATCCAAAACTATTCACAACATGTAAGGCAGACCCTGGCTAAAGCTGGGAAAAATGCAGGTAGAAGTAGAAGATTATATAATGTTTAACAATAGCTATATAATATCATTATACTATTTAAAAATATTTTATGAAATATTCACACTCTAAGATGAATTCTACGAATATGGACATGAGTTATTTGATACCAACTCCATAATTGAATTAAAATAAATTTAGGCCTTTACCTATTTTACGACATTAAAATAAAAATACCTAAATAAATGATCTTAACTCAATATATTTTATAGCATAAGAAAAAAGGAGTTTATAAATTCTATATCTACTTATTCTTGTTTACTTTGGAAATTTTGTAGTTTAAATAATAAATTGGATACTTATCGAGTGAGTATATTCATCTAACCCAACTCCCAAGTATTTTGAAGGGTCCGAAAAGTGTTTCAGAAATACAATCTTATATACATAGTAATACATAATTTAATTTACTTAGAAAGTTTTCATTTATAACACTTAGAATATAATATTCACGCATATTAAGTATACTTAAATGTAGTCGAATAAATTCTGGATTAAATCAGATCTCTAATAAATTAGACAGATAAAACGCTGTTTAAGTTGTATGTAGAATTTCTTTGTTATAATTGAAATTAATGCTACGTGAATAAAAAAGCCTTTGATATGAATTTTTCAGTTTTTCTGTGTAATCATTTACTTAAATAATAAATATTAATATACAATAATTGTGATTTTATCACTATATTCTTGATTTGTGTTAATACTGCCATGTTTACCTTAAGTTTGCGTCTTATTTCGTTTACACATGCAATCTTAAATCTACTATAATGTACGAAGTCTTACGAATAAAAATCTTTAACCTTTTTGCTTTAATAGGTGATCACTAAAAATATAAATAAAAAAACGTAACAGTTATTTCTTGATTCTAAGGCGATACGAAGTTTGCCGGGTCTTCTAGTATATATGTATATATTTCTATAGCAGAACTTCTTGAATTTAAACTGAAATTGTAAAATGTTTTGCTAAAGAAAACTTTGTACAGTTTTCGGAGTGAAAGATTTAGGTAAGGTGAGATTAGATAACAAAGGTAAGATTTTTCACATCACTTGTACTTGTACAAAATTACTTATTTATCACATTCGTATATACACATTTAATTGTACGTTCATTTTATTTAAAATACATGAGTGTTAATAAATACATTTTAATTCAATAATTAACAATTATTTACATTAGAAGTCCATAGAGAAGAGGTCTTTGTAGCTATCTGCTGTAGACATTGCTGCGTAGGGACTAATGAAATCGCTATGACGGTATGACGGCATGGATTCTGTTTGACCAGAGTTAGCCATCGCATCATATGGAGACATGAGACCAAAGTTTGATCTAGGACCTTTAGAAGCTGGGTTGACACCAGCCATCTTCATTATTCCATCATCCGCAAAGTTAGATGACGTTAAAAATTTCGCATTCGGCATTTGATAGTTTGCTGTACTTTCACAGGTACAACCAGAAATGTGGTTTGAAAGAGGTTTCTGGACTAGTTCGAGAAGAGTTTCAGATACTGGCGAATCTTTTGAGGGATTATTCATTAAGTTACTGACGATCAACAACTGTAAAGCTATCGCTAGATTATTGAGGACTTTGGAATCGATTTTTTCTTGGGGTTTCTCAATTTTTGGGGATAATTCTTTTACAGGACACGGTGTTGGGGCTGGTGGAGGAATTGAAGGTGGAAGCTTGGGTTGTGGGCTTGGTTTTGGTGGTTGCTGGGCATAATAATTTGGATAACTGGGTTGGTAGAACTGTTTATAATCTGGATATCCTATTTGTGGAGGGGATGGCCGTTGCTGGTAGTAATATGGGTATGATGATGTAACCTGGAACAAAAATGTAGATATTTTATCTTAATATATTCTCAAAATCACAAAGACTTGGTTTTAATCTTATATCTGGATTTATTTATGAGATTATTATTAACATTATTCTTTATTTTAATCTTTATAGCAATTAGTTTTGTTGATAAAAAAGTTTTGGTTGATAATCAACGCATTTAGGTTTTAAAGAAGAATAAAAAAAAATTGCTTTCACAATTTGGAGAGATAGTCATAAGAAAATCTTAAAGTTTTTTCACTCGTGCTAAACTTACCTGTGAAATAACAAATTGCGTCAATATTACTATACACAAATAAGAACCCATTGCTAGAAATGAATGCTATCATGACTACATACATTTATAATTAAAGATTTTGTTTTATCTGTCTTATTTACTTATCAATCACGTACAAATGAAATGGTTAGTTTTTGAGAAATATCAATGATAATAATGTATTTTCTAGTTTAGTTACTTAATGAAATCTAATGTTTACACTTATTTTATTATTTTAAACTACATATTCCCTGCGTTTCAGTTACTTTTCAGCAAATATGATCATGGAGAGACGAGATACATCTCGTACATGGAAATAAAAATAAAAACAAGAAATAAAGTAAAATATTTAAGCCTTTCGTCCTCATTTCAGGATTGTCACAACTCACATAGAAATATTATTTCAACTTCTCTTCTATTTTAATATTGCTGTTCCATTAAAACCTCTTTTCAATTGTATTTATTTTTCATAACAAAAACTTGTAAGTCATTTAGATAACCCAATTCAATACTACACCATAATTTACTTAAACATTAAAAATAAATGTATAAATCATTTAAAGAAAAGCCTTGAAGGACCGTCAACAAAATAATTATCTAATATTTAAAAACAATCACTTTATTCTATATTACTTTAATTGCAGACAGTACTAAAAAACATTCTCAAATGTCTAAATAATTTAGCTTTTAATATAACGAAAGCTTATTATATTGCAAATACATAATTATTCAACATTTCCATTTAAATTCACATTCAAATATTTAATAATGAACGTCTAATATTTAACACGGTAAATTAACTGAAAATCTTTAGAGGACAGAAACATAACTTAAAATAGTATTTATATTTCAATCTTTTATTCGTTTAATTAAACAGATGTTATTGCCCATAAGAAATGTCTATCAGTAAGCTTAGTTTCAAAATTTTGCTTAGAAATTCAGTTTTGATAAAAAAGATTTTGTAATTCTAGGTTTATCGTAACGTTTATAACCGTGTCTAAAAACACATTTTTCTAAGTTAAATCTATCGTTGAAACGTCATGAGGAAACCATGACTTATAATTTTGAAATCACCAACCCGTCTTGAGCAAGCGTGGTGATTAATGCCCAAACCTTCTCCATAGGCTCTGATAGGCTGATGATGATGATTTCAATACTTTATTCGTTTAATTAAACAGATATTACTGCCCATAAGAAATGTCTATTAGTGGGCTTAGTTTATTAATTTCGCTTACGAATTCAGCTTCGATAAGATGATTAAGATTTGGTTATTTACCAGGTTTATCGTGGTATTTTTAAAATCAAATTTGCCCTATTTAAATCTTCATATATATTTAAGTAAAATCCACATATTTTATGTTCATATCCAATGAACGATATAAAGTAGAGAATTAAATTTTCCCATCACGTCTCCCCCGGGATTTGAACCGATTTCATTTGAATTGGGATTGTATAATGTTTGCGTCTCTTTGTGATTCAACGACCCTCGGATTTAAGAGCCCTTGGAATCCTTTGTGTAAAAAAATTCGTTTCGTTTGAATAGTGTTTCGTCAATGTAAATAGTAATTTATCATTTTATTTAGTATGTTATATATTTTTAACTTATTTTTTTTATATACATGTTTAAATTACTTTACATATATAATTTTATTGCATTACAGTTAGTACTGTAGTTCCCAATATTCCCAAAGAGGGTTGATGTCAGGCAGGCGGTCGGTCGTAAAAACAATTAGCAAAAACTATTCAAAACATGTAAGGCAGACCCTGGCTAAATCTGGGATATTGCCAGGAAGTAGAAGAAGACAGTTATTACTGTAGTTCGGAGCATTTTATTTCTCATTACTTTGTTGAAAGCTTCATGATATTTGATTTCTGTGATAAATAAAACAAAAAAAAAACAAATTTTAACTATATAGGAAATAGAATAATTGTTTTAGACACTATATACTTAGCAATAATAGGGTTTTATTTGTAAATATTCGTACTGTTGTATGCTATTGTATAATCGGAAAACATTTCATATGTAGTGTGACTGCAAACTTATGGTAAGCATTCTGTTCATAAAATATTTTAGGTACCTACTTTTTGAAGTATTACTGAAGGTAGCGATTAAATGAAATATTATTTTTAGTATGTGTAAATATTCTGCATAAAATTTTGGTTATAATAATAATGATCAATAAATTCCTTTATTTTTCTTCTTTGTCAACGAAAATATGATATTAACAAATAATGAAAGCAAAAAATCAATTCACATTTTACATGGACACCACACTATATAATACATAGTTGTCTCTTTAGATAATTTTATGTTCTTTCTACGAAATACTTAAATTCACAGCATTTCAAATGATATATATAAAATAAATAAATGATCGAAATTATTAAATTCTGTTTCAGACGTATCTATTTTTCAAGCAAAAGAAATGTACCCCTCATTTTAAATTATAATTATTATTCTTATAAAATAAAAATAATATTTATCTGTTATTATAATTTCAAACATAAAGAACCCACGCGAATTATTAACAAGAGCTGAAGTAAATGTAAATCAAGACTTAAAAAAAGAATCAAATATTTATTACGATTTCTTTAGATCCTCGATTTATTATCCACAAAGGATTCCAGATTTAACAAACCAATTTATTCATATACAAAGGGAATAATAGAAAATTTATATTTCAATATTTATTATAAATATATACATATAAAATATTATCAGTATACGTAGTTATACGGCACGTTATAGCCCATTACGTCTACGGGGTACGGGTCGCATGGACCGGGGAGGGTGTTACTTAAAAGACTGCTCACAACTAAAAGCTGTAAAGCATTAGCTAGACTATTAGCAACTCCTCCATCCTGGACTATAGTTTGTGGATATCCAAGTTCAGATACAACTGGACTTGGTACCACGGGGGCTGGAACAACTTGCGGTTGGAAAATAGGCCCAGGAATCAAACCGGGTTCTCTAATAAGAAATTGGTTTGGAAGTACAGTTTCTACTACATTCTGACCGCAAGATGGCACTACCCGGTTCAGACATTGGCCGAAGACCATCTGTAAATTATAAATACATTATTTTTATTAAAAAGAATTTAAATATGTATATAAAAAAAATTATATATTTTTTACCTGAACAATAATAGTTTGAACAGCTAAATAGAAAACAAAACGCGCGGCCATTTTGATTTTGTTCGTTTAAAAACTTAGGTTTTAATGGTTTTTTAACACAAAAATGTATTTATATAACACCTTTTTCTGATAATTATAATTTCTTATCACTATTATTTCATGTTACATAACAAATAACACGTAGATATATTATCTAAGTCACTTTAGAAATTGTTGCATTATATAATAAAACATTGAGAAATAAAAATGCTCGAAGTAATCTTCATATGTTTTGTTAGAAAACTTTTTCTTATCATCGTCCGGACGATAGTATCCAAGAAGATATAAGTCCTTTCCACAATTGTCGTAAGCTTGGCAATTTATTTTGCTTTTCTGCAATTCTAGTGAGAAAAGTATTGTGAGACATGAAAAATTATAGTTCAGCCAGCGTTATTTATTTGCATTCAAAAAGTTTTAGGGTTCCGTGATCCAGAAAGGATTTAGAATGGATAATTCTATATTTTGAGACAAATTGTCAGAAATATGTCTAGATATAATACCTAAAGGTCAAGTAAAGTGAATAAAATGGGCTGATAAAATAATTTAGCAAAAAAAAATGTATTGCTGGTACAAATATTCATATCCGTATATACATATAATTATTTATTTATTTAAATAAACTTTATTTCTTAAAAAATACATACATTTTATAATTTTGTTCAACGATATCCTTGAATTCATAATCGACTATTAAATTAAATTCGATATATCAAACAACAAATATTTATTTCATATAAACGTTAAACAAGATATATTTATACAATAAAAAGTAATAGCAAAACAAAAGTTAAATGTAAACAAAATTATTCGCTATAAGAATTATTTTGATGACACATCAGACGAGAAAATATGTCAAGTTTAATAACAACAATAGATTAATATTATTCATATTTGAAAATAAATATAATGAACAATTTATGCTGATATAATTTTGTTTCGAATTGACTGTAGCTCTTAGCCCTAATGGCTTTGACAATGAACGCCACATCATGGAGACTGCAATTAAATCCTCTTCGAGTTGATGAATTTATCATTATATATTTTCTAATTTAAATTGAAAAAATATGTTAAAGCTGTGGCTCAGACTAGCTCTATAGGCTGATTCGTTGGCTTTATTCAGGGATCGCAATAGTTTTGGGATGAATCTAAGACGTCAGAGCTCTATAAACACCTACGAGTTTCAAAATGACATATCCTGGGAAAATCTCAAGATAATTTTGTTACATTTCTCCCCAAATACAAAGATGCCCCCGAGCTAGAATGACGACTTCAATTCCATAAACAGTTTATGATAGGAGCACAAAGTAACAGAGTAGGGTTAGGATCAAATAGGAAAGTCCAAGATGCGGATATATTGAAGTCTTTTATTCGGCAAGACGAGAATGATAAATATAAGATCCATGCAATGAGTTTAGAAATGCAAAGCAAGTGCTTAGATATAGATATAATGGTCATAATTGGAATCCAGCATCGCTAAAGTTTTATTTCAATTCGTTCCAAATGACTCTTTCCAAATAGAATTCTGAATAATAAAATAAATTAATAATAGTACATACTATTAATAATAATATTGCTTGATAATACTTGAAATTACAACTTCAAACTTCTACAATAACTTCTTCTAATCTTCTTCTAACTTCTGTAACTTTTACAGTACTCAGACCATCATTCCCAAGTAATGTACCAATCTGTAAACATTGAACATCAGTATTAAAAACAAAACAATATAAATAATCATGATTTTTTTCATATGATAAGTATTACGACATTCTATACCAAACTTTAACAAATTATATATTTTTTATGTAATACCAACTTATATTACAAATTTTATCGTTCATGTCATTTGTAACTTCACACATAAATGTTTATAAAAGATATGAAAAATATGTATATCGTTTAGAAAAAAATTTATTAAACACAATGAGAGTGTTCATAAGTTTATTTGCCTTTTGTTTTTGTCAGGTAAAATGGATAATTAAAACATTATTATAATTAGAAATATTTATTATTATTTTTATATTTTGAACATATTTCTCTTTCTTAAATACTATAATATTTTAAACGAAAGAAATTATATATTAATGCTAAGTTTTTGAAATATTTTTTTCTATTTAATTATATGAGTTATAAATTTCAGTGTAATGCAGTACCAATATCTGGAGTGAAATTACCATTGACATCACTAGCCTGTTCCACTACACCTAATAATCCAAAATCTTTGTCACTATCTTTTTCCCAAAAAGATAGCATTGAACCAAAGATGAATAAAATCGAAGAAATCAATTTGAAGTCCATAGATACAAATCCATTTTCCAAAGGCGAAAAGAAAATGAATTCTGTTTCGAAACTTCTAGAAAAAATTGGTTTGATTGAACAAAAAACAAAAGATTATACGTTGATTAAGCAGCAAAATTTCGACGATAATGTTGTAACAAAAGAAAATTTACCACCCATACAAAATGAGGGATCCAAGATGAAAGATTCTGAAGACGAAAAAAATATTGCAAATGAGAAAAATAAAATAAATTATAGCATTAAAGTGATATCTCCTCCCGCAGTATTTAACATCAATTCCGGAAATATTCCACAAACTCCAAATAAATTTAAACCTATAACAAAGAAAAACACCAATAGTATTTTAGAAAATCCTCAAGCATTATACCCATCGAAGTCACATGTGAAAAGGACGCAAGAAGTTATTCCGAAAAAGCAGAATTTTAATTACTATTACGGTGGAAAAGAAAATACGATGAAACCAAAATTACAGAATAAAATAAATATTGCTGGGAGTAAATCATCTGAAATGCTTGGCAGGGAAAGAAAAGAAATTGTTGAAAATACACTGAATAAAATAGAAAGTCCCTTAGAATCTAAGTATAGAAAATCTATACATGATTTAAAGGACAACAGAAATCCTTTAAAATTTAATTCTGAATCGAGAATGCCCTCAATATCAAACACTCGTGAACTCCCAACAAATTTTTTAGAAGTACCATTGAAAATTGATATCGTACCTGATGTTATAAATGAAGAAAAAGCCAATTCAATTAATACTATAGATAAAGAAGTAGAATATAACATGGTTAATTATAATTTAAATAGATTTTATGCTGATGAACATAAATTGAATCCCAATTATCTATTACCAGGGCAATCATCACCAAAATTGTTATTACAATCCAACCCTGCTCTAGAATTGAATTCTCCTACGAATCAAGTTTACAATTCCAATGACTTTGTCAATCCCAGTTTGAGTTTTTCCTTGGACAAGTTAATAACATTTTTCACATCTAAATTTCTTTCAATAATACCCAATATTTCTGAAGACTCTCCTGATAAAAGACAAGTATCATTTACACCGCTGACATCCCCAACATATACCAATCTACACGAAAATATGTCGTCTTGTACGGATATATCCCAAACACCATCCGAGTCTATTCCTTCTGGCAATGAATTGGAATTTAACGAACATATAAATATTGAAGAAGAAAACTTTATAGTGCAGGATGCATTAAATAAAGAGTCTAAAACTAAATTATCTTCTCCCTATTTATCAACACTTACTATCAATTATATACCTTCTCTTGAAACTTCTAATGAAATAGTTATAATTGTGTGATGTATTTATTTTAGTGATATTAATTTTCATGTTGTTATATAGTTTTTTAATATTATAAAAGAATAAAAAGATATAAATCTCTTTGTAGTTATTATTTCATACACAAATTAAGGGTATGTTAATTTTATTTGTACAAAACTGGTTTGTCGTAACTATAAGTATAAAAGTTTAAATGAAACTAATATTTTTCGGATTATACTGCGCATATTTTATTATTGTTAAAACTATTATAATGAGAAATTCACATCTCGTCTGCTCGTGATCACGGTAACTGAAAAGTAACCATACCTCGGGAGTAAAATAATAGTTTCATTTAAATGAATACTCGCGAAAGCCTTAGATGTCATTAAGTATGTATGGATTTTGCTATGATTATGACTGGTTTATTATCGGATATAGTTTTTCTGTGTTCCTTTCTGCATACAGGTTGAGGAACACTTGTCGTTGCCTCGTTTACATGGGTACCATACTTATATACTTTGGAATTTGCGAACACTGTCTCAACATTGTTGTTGTAATTTTCATTGGCCTCCATAATTTCCTTTAAATCCGAATAAGAAAACATTTTATTTCTTCCATAATTATTCGTTTCTGATTCATAGTTTCTCTTATTGGAGAAATATTCTTCTTTATCAACCATCTCAGTTTTGAAACCAGGAAATTCTAGAGCCGATGGGAATTCTTGTTCCTTTTCGACATATTTTTCTGAACTTACTGTAGTAACAGCTATATCACTATTTTGATTATGATTTGGTTCACTTATAACTTCTGTTTCAATATTAGTATTTATTTTATTATTCTCATGTAATTGATTTTCTTTATGACTTTCGTACTTTCGTCTTTCTCTATTTAATTCTGTCTCATCTCCATACGCGTAGTAATATCTATCCTGGAAATTTGTGAACTCATAATCTTCTTTGCTTGCTAAGTATGATTTGTCTGAAGTAAAATCTGGATAATACTCATCCATAATATCATTATAGTTATCAAATAACAAAATATTTTCGTCTCTTTTAGTCACTTCAGTCACATGTTCAATGTCAACTGTAGTTGGCTTTTCGTTGTTTGATTTAAAATTGTTTAAATGTGTTTCTTGAATCACTTTTTCAATTTTTTCAACAACTGGCGTGGAATCTACTTCTTCAGTGACAGTAGTAGTTATTGAAGCGATCGTACTTATTTCAATTTCAGTTGTTTCAGGAACTAACTCAACAACTTTGTCACAACTTTCTGTAGTTGATTTGAACTCCTTGACTTTTCTATTAGAGTTTGTCTGTCTGTTCTGTGGTTTTCGTTTCTTATTTCTACGTCTATTTCCCGGCTCTCTTGTTTTAGCATTTGTCGTCTGCGAAGTTTGATATAGATAATCAAAATTAAAAGGATAATTCATGTTGTTGAAGAAATTTGGGCTCATTTGTGTGTTTCCACCAAACGTGTTCATTAAATTCATGAAATTATTTGGTGAATTTTGTTGTGGTTTTGAAATAGGTTTATTATTTCTCGTGTTGACATCCTTATTGCGTGTGTGACGACAGTCAAGATCAGTACAATCTTCATTTATATCAAAACATACGGGTACATTATCGAATCCCAAAACCTCTTTCTTTGGCTCAGATTTTGAAGTTGAAACTGTTGATACTTCAGGATCACATTTTTTTCGTATTGGTACATTTTTATTTATTTCCTTTTCATCTAATGTAATCACGTCATTATTTTCAGGTTTTAAAATCTCTAAATTTTCTTTTTCTCTCTCCTCTACGATTTTTTCAGTACTTATTGGTCTTATTTTATTTCTTTGTCGATTTTTCTTTGATTTTTTTCTTTTGGTTCTAGAATTTTTATTTACATCCTCATTAACTTCTCCTTGTTTTATTTCTGAAATTCTTTTTCTGTTATTTCCATCCCCATTTTCTTGTATATTTGATGTATTCTTTCTCTGTTTTCTTCTTCTCTTTTTATTATTAGTTTTTAAATTATTCTCATTGTTTCTAGACACTTTTCTATCCTTATTTCCATAATTAGTGTTATATTCTTCCGGAACCAAGATGTAATTACTTAATACTTTCTGATTTTCTAATGGTTCAGAAATTTTTGATGTATCGAAAGCATTTTGGACATAAAATTGCTGATTTGGTACAAATAAATTAGTCAGCTGATTTGGTATTGTATTGCTTGGTGAATTAGGTGTCAATTGATTGTAAAGCAACAGATTCTGAAGATATGGATTGTTATAGCCTGTGTTTATGAACAACTGGTCAGCATTACCGTAATTAGGGTAAGTTGTAGTTGGACAAACTTTAAGATCATACAAAGGATTTGATGAAACCTGAAAAATAAAACATATTTATAATATATATGTCATATATCAATTGGAAATAGAGTTAAGAAACAATATATTATGAAAACAATAGTCCTTATTACTTTATATTACATAATTAATTATCAACCAAAACCCGAAGTTTGAGTTATGGTTAATTGATGAAACAGTATCTTTTTATATATATACTAGCTTTTCGCCCGCAGCTTCCTTTCAAAAGTCTGGGTTAAAACTATCCTATGTTCTTTCTCAAGGTCAACTGTATCTCTGTACTAAATTTCATTTAAATCAGTTCAGTGGTTTAGGCGTGAAAGCGTAACAGACAGACAGGCAGACAGAGTTACTTTCGCATTTATCATATTAGTAGGAATTCATAAAAAATGTATATAACTTATTATTTTTATGATACTAATAAAGATTTATAACTTACCAAAACAAAACAGACTTGTAAACAGAATGTTAATAACATTATATCATTTTAACAAAAAAAATTGATGAAGATTTACCAAAATCTCTTATCGAAGTACGTGTTTTCAACTCTCATCTCTTTATATAAGTAATCGATTACTGGCTTATATCTATTATTGTAGCCCTGATTGAACACGGTTTGATAAAAAAATTACATAATTATAATGAAATAAAATTAAATTGATTAGAAGTTTTATCGTAATTACCATTTCTGAGCTGAGGAAAACCAATTCTCAGAGAAAAATCTTGCCTATCCGTAACTATATTTTTCTATCCTTAAAAAAATATCTTTTAATTATTTAACCTAATTACTTTCTTTCTAGATTAGTATTTCTAAATGTTAATACATCATTACGAAATTGCGTTATCTGGTAGCTAAAACAACTTATTAAACAAAGTTCTTTTATAAAGTTAAAAGAGAAATACCGAAGCAATTTAAACTTTCCTTAGATCTCTCATTTGTCGTAATAAGATCGAAAGGGATGAGTTTGAAGATTCTCTTTTGAAGTGTGTGTGTACATTGGCTTTATTAGAAATTGTATTTGGACATACATTAGAACATAATTGGGATAAAATTAAATTAATTATATCTCATTCTTGAATCATTGAATACAGTTTTTATTAAATAAGTAGTTGTCCTTAATATGGTGAGTTTCTATCAAAATACTCAGAATACTCGTTAGTAGGTACAGTTCTTTAAAAAACCCAAACAATATTTAACTGAATCAAGATAATAATCCATAATTACTTAATAATTTATTTTAAGTTTAACTATACAATATATTTGTACAAAAATTTTAGAATATTCAATTAACCGTAGTATTATTATTCCTAGCCTATTTACGGCAAAAAAAGACTTTTTACCGCAAACCATAGTATTATTATTTATTCCATACATTTATTTTTCTTCCTCATTGATAAACAAAGTAATTTAACGTGATTGGAACTATAATTACACGTTCATTTCAGGACTTCAAAGTCCAATTATTCTCTGACATATATGAAAAACGTTTGATAATAATCAAAAAATTTATTACAAATAGAAAATAAAAGAAATATACCACTAAAAAATATATATTAAATATTATTTTTATGAACAAGTCGCGTTTAATTCGAGACTGTTAAAGTAGCAGGTTAAGCAGGGTCTGTACAGCCATGACGACCATCCTGAGTAGACCTGGTAGAAGACCGCCGCCAATAAGAACCAGTGCATCATCAGCCAGTTCTGTGATGGCCGTAACCAGGGTTGTGAGTAGACCTTGCATGTTAGAGCAAGGCGACTTAGGGTTGGCACCAGCGGCATATTCAGGTAAAGATCTCAGGAAATTCACTATAGCTAATGCTTGGGAGTATAGTTTTAGTAAGGAAGTCTCTAAAGCACCGAGGTCTACAGGTATTAAAGAGCTTATAGCTGGTGGTAATGTGTCAAATATGGATAACAATGATAGAAGAAGATTGTACACGTTATTTAAAAGAGGCAGCAGAATGTTCACTAAAGGGTATACAGCTGGAAGTTGTACACCAGTTGCTGAGACCGGATTCTGAAAAGGAAATCATTTAGATTAATCAATCTACCAAACTAGCTAACATCGATATATCAATTAATCGATTACAGACGCATTATCTCGTTTAACTCACCATAAACATCGACACAGCGATTACAACAAAAATAATACTTAATTTTGACATTTCCAAACAAAAAAATAAACAATATTTACCGACAGTATACCTAAGGCCGAGTCTATATAGATGTATAATAAATTATACAACATATTCATTATATATTACATAGTTGCGATACTCACTTACTTAATTATCTGTTACTCAACTAAATAATTTCACATATTATCCAATAATAAATTATCTTTAGTTTCGATAAGGGTCATCGGGTGTGGAGGTTAGGCTGGCTGTGTTTGGGTCTGGATGGGTGTGGGGTTGAAACCCATTACATATGTTATGAAATCTTTAATTTCTTTGAAGAAAATCAGTTACTCTAATAATTATAGGATAGTTTTGTAATGATACCCTGATATACCTGATACCTGAAATCTTAGTACTCTATTTGTGTATCTTAATCAATAATACAAATGATTATCTTATGTTTTATTAATCATCCTTTCAGAGGATTTATAGCAAGAAATACTTATTGAAAAACATGATATCTTTGCGGTGGTTTTGTAAATATTACTTCTTTCCAAATAAAGACAAACCAAGACAAGAATTTATACCAAAATATACAGGGTGACTGGTGAATTACTATCGATATTTGAGGACGTGATATTTGACGATCATTTATGACAAAATAAAAATTAATATAACATAAATATTAATAAACTTCTAAGTAAAGTTAACCAAAAGTTATGTAATTAATTACGCATCGTATGAACACCCTACAGATTAGGTATACACACACACACACACACACTCGCGCGCGGCGGCGTGTTGTTGTATCAGCACGTCGCCACACGCGTCCACACTTGGAACACTTGGAACGTGTACACACTCTATTTATTTATACGGAAATTTTGTCAAAAATTAAGTGCCTATTTTTTTTACATAATTCGAATGAGAATCATGTACTGAGTATGATCCTTAAATATTGATAGTAATTCACCAGTCACCCTGTATATTCTCTAATATACTAAACAAAGAAATGTTAAATTTGTTATACTTTATAATAAATTAAATAAGACATGTATATATATTTTAAATACCTATAATGTAGGCTATTTATAAATCAATTTAATAATTGCTAAACAATTTAAATTGCATATCGCAATTATAAACAAACAGAAAGTCGCGTGAAAAATCTAGTTATATATCAAGATGTGTTAAGAAATTAGATAATAACTTACTCAAAAAAACTTAAGCAATTATTTATTATATAGATAAAACTTCATATAAATGTTATAAAAGATATTATTGATACTTTATTGTACGCGTTGGTGTCGGAAATTAAGAGTTGGAAATGTTTCAGCGTAACGCAATATGTTTTTTAGCTGTTCTATGCATGGTGAGTAAACTTAACTAGCAATTACTCACGACTTAGTTTATTAAGTTGTACAAACGAAAATTTGTAAGTATTCCTATCGAAATTAAATGTGGTTTTAGAATTTACGCCCACAGAATTATAGATTTACGGACATATATACCGATATTTTTCTTAAACGCATATTATTTATACTTCCTACAAAGCTGAATAGATTTTGGCATAGCTATAACTAAGTAATCCTTTTTCCAGGTCCGTGGAAGTCAAGCTATGATTCCAGCATATTCTGTTTCAGCGTTACGACTAGCTTTCGACGAAATATCAGCCGTGTTGCCAATCGCTAATGAGCTCGCTTGTCTCTTGATACCATTCCTCATAAACCTCATCAATAATCTAAATAATTTATCCAATATTGTCCAGAACTTAACACCTGCTATTCTGCCATATTTTGGCTGCACTCTTCCTCTTTTATACGCGACTTTGACTGACCTGGCATCTGTTTTATTCCTCTACATCAGTGTGCTCATATCGTTGTTTAGATCAAATGTCCTCTCAGCTCCAGGTCTTCTAATGGCTCTGGTTTCCCAAATACTAAAACTAGTTCTGGAATTACTCACAGGTCTTGCAGATTCTGGCGGAATTCTGTCAGGTCTGATCAAATTAATTACAACTGTTGTCGTCGAATTGGAGAAGCTATTGATTTAATTAATAATATATTTATAAATAAAGATGTTGTTTGTAATTTTTATTTGTTTTTATTATTGAATGAATACAAAACATTTTTAGTTGTATCATAAGTTATTAATCGACTGCTAAGACGTGGATTTGTTTTTTTGACGCTACATTTATATTGGACTAGCTTTCCGCCCGCAGCTTCGCCCGCGTGGAGTTCGGTTATATCGCGTTTCCAAGAGAACTTTTCAAAAGTCTGGGATAAAAACTATACTGTTCTTTCTCAAGATCAACTCTATATCTGTACCAAATTTTATTAAAATCAGTTCAGTGGTTTAGGCGTGAAAGCGTAACAGACAGGCAGACAGAGTTACTTTCGCATTTATAATATTAGTAGGCATATGGAAAAGTTCAGTATATATGTTATGTAGAATATATATATATAGTCGTACAACAAAGTATACTAAAGTAAAAAACGTATTCCATAGGCTGTAATGTTTTTGCTAACTTTATTAGATCCCTGAAAGCCTTTTTACGGCAAACCATTACGTTTTAAAAACATTTCTGTGAGTTCGTTGGTATAAAAAAGTTCATTTCATTCGAGTTTTATCTGCTTGAACATAGAGAAAAGTTAGAAAAACAATAATAAGGAATGCTTCAATTATAATATATATCAAAATTTTTAATGTTTGTGTTATTTGGGAAAAGTATATTTAACTTGTAGTTAATATGATAAAATAATCTTAATTTTTCGTACTTTATAACTTGACTTGGTTTATTACTTAAAATGACAAATACAGTAAAAGAATATTTCTTCAAGTTCTTTCTGAGCACATTTGATATGTATATTTTGGAATTTTGACCAAAAATGTGGATACTTTGATAAGAAACTGATTATCTTAGTAAATCGAGATGAATTGACAAAGATCTTATTACTACGGCAGTTGTTCTGATTGAAATTGGAGCTTAAAGTATAGCCTTAAAATAGATTATATATATGTATATTATATATTTATAGCCAGATATTTAACCAGGATATAAGTGAATAAGCCAGGGTAAGTATAAAGTTTAACCGATTGCGTAATAAAAAGACAGTATTGTTTTACATTAATATCATATTAAAGAGTTACAAATAATGTTTACGACTTACCTTAGTCAGTAACCATTTAAATAAGCCTAAAGTATGTATATTCTAGTCAGTGGTGGCCTAGTGGTTAAAAGGCCCGCCTCTCATGCACGAGGGCGCGGGTTCGATCCGGGCAAGTACTAATGTGATTATTCCGAGTCATATGTACTTTATAAGAGTATTTAGACACCACTGACAGACGGTGAAGGAAAACATCGTGAGGAAACCTGGACTTATAATTTGACAATTATAAGATTGAAATCACCAACCCGTCTTGAGCAAGCGTGGTGATTAATGCTCAAACCTTCTCCATGTGAGAAAGAGGCCTTTGCTCAGCAGTGGGCTCTGATAGACGAAAGAAAATGTAGGTATATTCTTATGTAAAATAATTGAAATGTTGGGTAAAATTTATGATAATATTTCTTTCATTGTTACGCGACGGTGTAACAGTGATAGTTAATTAAATAATAAGATAATAACGGTGTAATCGCAGATCACGTTTATCTTCTAAGTAAACTTGTTAATACTACACGGGTCTGTCTCAGTTTAGTGTGAACAGACTTTATAGTTTTATATTTCTTTTTATAATATTGTATCTATTTGTTCAAGCTTCATTCAATATAGTCGAACGAATTAATTTGAATTTAACTTTAAAATTAATTTAGTTCATTTAAATTTAAGTTACTATAGTTTTCTGTGATGAAATAAATTTATAACATCTATAGTATTATAAATAAATTGATTGTCTCTTAATAACACAATGGATCTGTAAATATAAATGAAACAAATTAAGAAAGACGAAACCTCTCATCATTCAATGTATTCACGGTGCGTGTGTCGGGTCCATCGTTGTAGTGAGAGGAGCTTCAACAGTGACTGGGACTTGTGACCCAGGTGTAGGTTTAATATATATAGAGAGACGAAACCTCTCATCATTCAATGTATTCACGGTGCGTGTGTCGGGTCGATCGTTGTAGTGAGAGGAGCTTCAACAGTGACTGGGACTTGTGACCCAGGTGTAGGTTTAATATATATAGAGAGACGAAACCTCTCATCATTCAATGTATTCACGGTGCGTGTGTCGGGTCCATCGTTGTAGTGAGAGGAGCTTCAACAGTGACTGGGACTTGTGACCCAGGTGTAGGTTTAATATATATAGAGAGACGAAACCTCTCATCATTCAATGTATTCACGGTGCGTGTGTCGGGTCCATCGTTGTAGTGAGAGGAGCTTCAACAGTGACTGGGACTTGTGACCCAGGTGTTTAAGGGACCTAAAAAAGTAAAAGAAAAAAAAATTTACATTAGATTAACAAAGAAAATAAAATATAACACAATTACTTTGACAATTCAATGCAATATAAAGAAATATGTATCATACGTGGTCGCTAAAGTATTTATTGGAAATAAGATCTTTAATTATTATTTCCGTAATACAAAAAAGAACAGCTTTAGATAAAGTTTTAGTATGACTACATATATTGTTATTTGGCTTGAATATCTAAAAAAAGAAATGAAAAATATATTATTATATTTTATTTATTACGTATTATTTTTTATACATATATAAAATACCTTTTAGCTATTAATATACACAAATATAATACTATATGTATATATTCCATTAAACCTCTGGTTCATTACTCCCGGTAAAGGTAGTATGATGACGTCAAACAAATGACGTCACAAGAATGATGTCAGAGGGCTGGGCTGGTCATTAGTAGCTAAATGGTTGTATCAAGTTACTTTACTAGTTATAATACGCCAATATTGTAACCAAAAATAATATTACCGATATGTTTATTACACCAAAACAATACATTTCATTGTGAAACGCTTCTTAATGTTTAAACAGCAGTTATTGTTATAAAATTGACAACGATAATACACATATAACTAGGGTATTAGTGTTAAGTAAAGTAGAACGAAGGCATGTAAAATAACAGTGAAAAAAAGAAATCTTCAAACAAACCCTCAGGGATAGATGTGTTTATAGGAAATAATATATTTTTAATTATTATAAGGAACATTAATTAATTTACGACAAATTTTAAACATATAAACTTTTGTACACAGTTATATTGTGAAGTATACAAGTTATCAACAATGAAGACAAAATATTCTATCAAAGAATCGTTCATATAACATATATTGACTAGCTTCTGCCTGTGACTCCGTCCGCGTGAACATCAGAGTTTTTCTCTGTTACTACGGCCACTGAATCTTAACTTCACTTCATGGTTCTACCCTTGTAGTTGTGGATCGAGATGAAATATTTTATAAGCTGATTATTTGAATAACCTATAGGTATCAATATATAAAAATGTTGTGTGTTTAATCGGCGTAATTTCAGGATCGCGATTAGGGATCGAGATAAAAGGTAGCCTATGTCTTTTTTCAAAGTTTCATCTATCTCTGTAACAAAATTTATTAAAATTCCTTAAGTGGTTTAGGCGTGAAAACGTAACAAACAGACAGACAAAGAAAGTTAATTTCGCATTGATAATATTAGAAGGGATTGCCAGTGTTTAAAATCATTTTAAATAAATTGGAAAAAGAATTTAATCATTTTTTTATTTCATCTATCCTTTTGTTACTTTTTTCCTTTTTTATAATTAATAAATTGTTTTAACTTAAATGTAAAGGAGATGGAAACTTGTGGGCCCAAAATGTAATGAGTTCAAAATTGATTTAAAAAACTATTTTTTTTTTTTGTATGAAATACCAAATATGCAAATAACTGATTTTATGAAGCAATCGATTAACGATTAATTAAATAAAAAATGATTATTCGACTATTTAACTACAAAATCAAAAACTTCACTCCTAGTTTTAAACTTATAGTAACTTCATTTAAACTATACCATATATGTCTACAATTCAATAAAAATAACTTTTCATAACGTGTATTAACATAATAATAATATTAAATATTATTTTAAAACATCCTTTTCGATTATCGATTCCATATCGATTGAAATCATTCAGTATACTGTCTATGGCAACATGACATTGACACTTAACAATTACCATGCCAGGTGCATTGTTATATGAGTGACTTGTTTCGTGTTTTTCGATGCGTTTTGAGTGCTTTCCCGATCATTTTACGTTTTCAACGACCACTGCTTTGTTTTTTACGGACTCCGAACCCGCCTAACGTTTTACGACCCTTGCTTTCACATTGGACACCGACGATCGCCTGCACGTTTGACTTGGAATTGTTAATTTGGATTATTTCGCCGGCTTGTGTATTGGATATTACTGAAACGATGGATCGCTGTGTGAATTGTGGAATAGCAACTAGTAACATTGTACCCCCTGCACAGTTCCTAGTCGATATTTTAATTATTATTAAAGAGGAATAAAATGTTTCATTAAAATTATTTGTTTTATTTTATGACTTTTATCACATAGTTAACTCCTCCTGTTCCTCGTAATATTCCATACTAGTTACCGATATCTGTATGTCTTTGAGTCTTTCTTGCCTTTATAACTTATCAGATATTCTCTTCTAAACATAATTTTTATTTTTCACATACTTTTAAGTGTATTCATCTAACTCTTAAAGATAATGCAATATAACCTCACTCTTACTAATACTCCAATAACTCAGCTATCTAATTGTCAATTTCTATAGAATTTTCAATGAAGAAATTCTTAATTTTGAATATTTTAATTAATACTATTTTCATGTCTTTACATTGAGGGCCCAGAATTGTATGCAATACTTTCGATCTCCTTTATAAATTCATTGAATTTCTAATCCGATTACTTAAAACAAAGATAGACGACTAATATTTACCGACCTATACCAGATTTAAGAACAGAAAATACAAATAAATTTCATTTACCAAATTGTGGAACCTTGGCTTGGGTTTAGTTGAGAAATAATCCGTAAATTTAAGTATTACTTTACATATTACTTCTTATATATATATCTTCTTCTATATATATAAAAATGGATTGCTGTTCCTTAGTCTCGCTAAAACTCGAGAACAGCTGAACCAATTTATCTTATCTTAGGCTTGAAATGTTTGTGGAGGTTCAGGGAAGGTATGTATAAAAGCTGAAAAAAATTGATTCATTACTGGGAAAACCATAAAAACAGCCCTTTTCTATTTCCCATACAAACGTTTTTTTGACATTAGATTTGACAAACTAATATGTCAATCATTCTGTCGCACTTCAAAAAACGGAGATTTATGGCTTACAGGTAAACTCCAAAAATATAAATAAAAAAACGTAATAGATATTTCTTGATTATAGGGCGATACGAAGTTCGCCAGGTCTTCTAGTATAAAATATAAATTCGTTGTTTTTAAAGAGAGAGACGCCAGCCTCGCTGACGTCACTAATGTCACTTCTTTCAGTACGTTCCACGATATTTTTAAAATGAAACTTAAATTTTTCTAACTATCCTAGTAATTCTTGAAGTTTCTATATTCTTCAATGGTCCGCACTCACTGAACTTACTGTCGTGCGTCCAGACGTCATATTTATATTAAGATTCAAACATAGTTCTATTCTCCTTTTAAACAGTCTTTGATTTAGTTTTACTTTTAACAATAATCATAAATACTAATGAGTTTTAATAATAATTGTTGACAGGCTCAAGTTATTTTTATGACGCATCCGTCATTAAAGCTGATAGCGCCTATATACATATATTATGTACATATACAAATAAGTGTAACGTTTTGTCGAAGCAAAGCAATATTTGTCACGTATGCTATGATAGTCAATGGCCTAACTGTCAGCTCGTGAGTCAGCTTCTGTCAGTGACTATCCAAAGTCATCCCTACTAATATTATAAATGCGAAAGTAACTCTGTCTGTCTGTTACGCTTTCACGTCCAAACCACTGAACTGATTTTAATGAAATTTGGTACAGAGATAGAGTTGACCTTGAGAAAGAACATAGGATAGTTTTTATCCACAATTTTAAAAGGGTCTCTTGGAAACGCGATATAAGCGAAGTCCTCGCGGGCGAAGCTGCGGGCGGAAAGCTAGTTAATAATAAATTAAGCTTCAAGAACCAATAATATCATATACACTTCTATTTTATAAGAAGCAATGTTCTTAAAACAAAAATAATACATTTATGTCTTATTGGAATTTTCATAGAAATTAATTTTCTTACGACATTCAATCTCCGGTTTGGGAAATACATATATTTTAATACATTTCCACTGATATTTAGAGTTTATTTGAAATAGCTGTATACTTGTTTCTCTAGTATATGTAACAAAGGCAGGTTTTATACAAATAAACATGAAAATTTTCAAAGCAATTTACATACCAAAGATTAGTTTTTATTGATCCTTTGTATTGGAGGATTCAGAATGTATTAAGTACATAAAAAGGTATCTTAATTTATTCTGTCTGTTTATAAAATCTATTAAATATTCAATTTGTAATTATAAACCCCTATTTTTATTATCATCATACGCCTATCAGAGCCCACTGCTAAGCAAAGGTCTCTTCTTACTTGGGGAAGGTTTGAGCATTAACCACCACGCTTACTCAAGACGGTTGGCGATTTTAAACTTACCATTTGAAATTACAATCCAATTTTTCTCACGATGTTCTCATTTATCTGTCAGTCATCTATAAATACTCTTAGAAAGTAGGTACATATGACTCGGAAAAATCACTTTAATACTTGCCAGGTTTCGAACCCGCGCATTCATGTACGAGAGGCGGGCCTTATAACCACTAGACCACTACGACTTATAAATACTGTTTTTTTATTATCCCTTTCTTGCAGAAACTACTGAAAAGAATATGATGAAACTTTACAGAAATATAGTCCTGATATCAGAATAGGATATAGACTATAATTTATCCTAGAACTCCTATCAGAACTCATGGAATTAAGTATGAAGTCACGTGACTATAGGTGTGTTTCTGTGTACAATATCTATTGTATAACCCAAATATTTCTCTGCCAAATTCCGAAGCAAATGTACACAAAATTAGAAGCTTAATATCAAATTTATCTATCAGCTTATATTGTGTACAAAATGTAATATTGTTGATACCACTCGACTGTTAATTTCCTTCATAAATTAATTAAATCCGTCAGGTCAAAATGTATTTGCAAATATAAATGTTGGAATAGGAAATTATAAATCATTTGACGAGATTATTAACGGCTGACCAAATTTAAAGGATCACAAATGGAATTATGACAAATTGTATTGTTATAAATATTCAACATTTAAAGTTAAAATTAATTAACAATAAATTCTGAGAATTATCGACAATAGAGAGAGAATTCAAAGAGAATTGAAAAAGTTTTTTTTTTAATATAACATATTTATTAACATGACACAAACATAAAAGCCTCATTGTGTTAAAACAACATACATTTCTAAATTTTTTGATGTTTTTTAAACAAAAAATCTTACATACTTACTCGTTAATATGACATAAATATAATTCTTAATTAGTTTTATTCATTTTAATTATGAAATACATAATATTATCAAATGAAATATATAAATGCATAAGCTTGAAATGACGTCAAAACCCGCCCATATCTGAAGCAACATGCGCAGTGAAAAGTCTTGTATGGATCAGTTGTAGTGGAGACTCCACAGCGAATAGACGTCTACAGGTAAGTTAGGAGACACCCGGAACAAAGATGTAACCGCGTATTAAATAAAATATATATATACATACATAATAATAATGAATATTTAATAATTTTAGTTAACGTTGTAGCAAAATTTGTAGATTTTCGGAATTTTTTTTGCAATTTGTTTTGGGCTTAACCGGTGATAAAGTCATTGTTTGTGGTTAATATATGAGTAAATTAAAATAATCTAGTTTTTTACGTATAAAATAATATATCGATTGAAATAATAAATTAAAAAATTGCAACCAATTTCTAAGTTTCATAAATGAAATTAATGAAATATTAAAATTTATAGGTATATTTAAAACTAATATTTTTTATTGATAACTTATGTATTGTAAAGGATATGAAAAAATAAATTTATGTTTAGAGAAAAGTAGTTCAAGGTTAACAGGAAATTCGGGAACAAATTTATCCCGTTGGCTCTATTTCAATAAAACTTTTTTTCTATTGATACCAATATATTACATTCCATTATTAAGATATTATTAATGAATCGTATTGTATTAAAATTTTGAAAAGAAATGACATTAAATTAAATTATTTAAAAGAATTATAGTAAATAGAAATTAAAGGTTTTCAATTGTTCTTTAAATATGTATTATTAAAATCAGTATAATTACATCGTTTTTATTACTCATTGCAATATTTGAGCAACTGTCAAAAATGACGGTACATATTTTTTAAAACTACATACTGTCGAAGTTTCGGTTACTTTACAGCAACAATGACCACGGGCAGATGAGATGTCAAATATAAAATAAATCCGAAAAATATAAGTTTAATTAAAATGGATAATAGCTTTAAAAAAACTATTTTGGCGCTATCGAATACAAATATTTTGTTTGATATAATGAGATCTAAGATTTTCGCGAGTACTCATTTAAATGAAACTAATATTTTCGGATTTTACTTCTTTTATTTATTTTTGATTTTATAATCTCGTCTGCCCGTGATCACGGTTGCTGAAAAGTAACCGAAACGTCGGGCGTGTGTAGTTTATAATCAGAAATAAATACGCGAAGTAAAATCCGAAAATATTTATATCATTTAAATCTTTTGTTTTAAAATCTAAATCTTTCCTAGATAAACATGGCCGCTGCCGTTCTGCTGCTTATCGCCTGCCTGAGCTCTGCCCACGCGTGGGGTGGTCTCTTCAACCGATTTAGCTCCGATATGCTGAACAACTTGGGCTACGGGAGATCACCATATCGCCATTATCCTTATGGACAGGTAAATTACTTCTTCTATATATATAAAAATGGATTGCTGTTCCTTAGTCTCGCTAAAACTCGAGAACAGCTGAAAGGATTTATCTTATCTTAGTCTTGAAATGTTCTTGGAGGTTCAGGGAAGGTATAAAAGCTGAAAGAAATTGATTTATTACTGGGAAAACCATAAAAACAGCCCTTTTCTATTTCCCATACAAACGTTTTTTTTGACATTAGATTTGACAACTAACTAATATGTCAATGATTCTGTCGCACTTCAAAACACGGAGTTTTATGGCTTACAGGTAAACTCCAAAAATATAAATTAAAAAAACGTAATAGTTATTTCTTGATTATAGGGCGATACGAAGTTCGCCAGGTCTTCTAGTGATAGCATAAAAATTAGGCTAGAAGTATAGGATTTTTGGAAGGCCTGTTTATTTAGCTAGTTTTATTTTCAAGCCAAGAGAATTAGGTTCAGGTTTTTTGAATTTCATAAACCCTGTACCTAGATTAATTTTCAAGATTCAATTAGGTTCGAGTTTTGAAACTGGTAATGATTTTGGGTTATCAATGTATTCTTTGTACTTTTCCTACATTATGTTAAGGAAAACAATGACGATAGAAAAATGGAAATTACAAAAGGATATAGCACTTCAGACACTAAGAATTTTAGGAACTAATATTTTATTTATATATATAAAGGAATGTTTTTTGCCATGAATAAAATTCAGTTTTCTCTTTGACATATTGCCAAGTTTAAACTTCCAAGTGGACGAGGGTCGCTCGGTCGGTTGAGATGAGATCAATTTGCTGTTAAGTGACCTTTTGATATGGACCCAATGACGCTTGTGTTGTCACAGAGAATCTATTTTAAGAAATAGAACATAGCACCATATATATAACTTTATTTTTAAATATAAATTCGTGATATTTTAAAGAAATTTCAAAAAATATCTACGATTATCCAATGTAACTAATTTTAAACCCAAGGACAACGGTATTTTATTATTGAAATCAATCGCATATTTATGTTCTTCCTTTGTTTGCAATACACCCTACAATTCATTTCCTTTTAATCTTAAAATAATAACTATATTGTAAAAACTATTAAGCTTAAAATTTGCTATGAATATTAAACAATATTTCGTTTTCATTTCTTTGTTAACAAATCACTCTCGACAGAAATAATAATACTTTCCCAAAAAGGGTTGATGTCAGGCAGGCGGCCGGTCGTAAAAACAATTAGCCAAAACTATTCACAACATGTAAGGCAGACCCTGGCTAAAGCTGGGAAATTGATAGGTAGAAGAAGGAGAAATAATAATACTATTAAAATCATCAAAAATCTTTCTTTGCAATCAAACTTTATGCTTTTTTTTCCGTTATTAGGATGCCGAAGAGATTTATGCTGATGCTCTTGAAGGTAACCGCATTGAAGATGTAGATGATAGTCACTGCTACAGCGCCGCTTGCCTCTCTAACGGAGACTGCTGCCGCGGATTGACCTGCTTGGAAACAGGTAAGTTATTTTTACCTGAGAAGCGTCACAGGTAAGTATTATGATATTGAAAATATATAATGAAAAATACATTTACGATGAGTCAAAAGTATTTTTTATCAGACTGCATAGTTAATTCTGGAATTATCAATGATTTTATTTTTTTTATTTTCTAATTATATTTTAATTCATATGTGAGCCGATAACTTTAAGATTAAAATTATTTATTTGAATCTTAAACTAAATAGGATCAGAAATATTTTCGTAAATATGAGGTCAATATATTTGAGGTCAATTTAGTAATTTTCATTTACCTTCTTGTGTTTCTCTACCAAAGTATATAGCAGGTAAGTTATGAAATATAACTCTTTTATTCGAATTAGTTGAAAGAATTTCATTTTTATAAATAATAACATTGACCTATATATTTCCTATTTAAATAATAAATGCAAAAATATGTCTTATATGATCTTATGGTAAGCGGCAGCTAAACTAAAGAACGCTGTAAATACCAAATCCTATACCTATTGATATAAAGGAAATTAAATTGAAAAACATACTGGCTTTTGATCCAGTGTTTGCTTGGGTGTCGTTTATCTAGTAGTGTCTATAATCTTATCTATCTAAATGAAACTAATAGTTTCGGATTTTACTTCGCGTTTTTTATTTTTGATTACGAACTACTTACATACTCTCTACGTTTCGGTTACTTTTCATCAACCGTGATCACGGGCAGACGAGATGTGAGTCAGACAGACGTCAGTTGGTTTTGTTATTTCTATCTATCTATCTAAATGTAGTTTTTAATTAAAATCGATATCAAATCTTTTCAAATTAAACATAATATACATTCTGTCTTTTGTAAGAGTAAATACATTTTTAATAGTATGTTTTTGTAAAGAAAATTATATAGTTTGAAAATAAATATGACGTTACCTCGTAATATAGGAATTAACCTCGACTGAATGTCAAAGGTCATTAAATGTCAGCGTGATTTATGCAATCTATTTTCACATGCAATGTATAAGTAAGAACAAATGAAGGATTAAGTTTAATACAAGTTATACAATAACCATATTAAGATATAAAACTATGAAGACCTTAGTTGTTAAGGAAAAGGGAGGGGTAGGAATAAGGAAATTGTAGGAAAGGGTGGGAACAGGAAAAGGGCAACCGTCTCTCTCACTCATCGGACGAAACGCAGTCATTAAAGGCTACTTTACGCCGATCTTCTGTGAGAGGGTGGTACTTCCCCGGTCGAGCCAGACTATGTTTGAGCTGTAGTAACTTAACCACAGCTAGGCTCTACCACCTACCAAAACTACGTACTACGTACTACTACTACGTACTCATGATCTATGTTTGTAGTTTTTCGCAAAAATAGCCACGTAATGTATACGAAACAGTATTAGTTACATTTAAATGAAAAAAATCGTGGTTTAAATATATTTTTTATCAACGAATTTAAATATAAAGAACGTAAAAGGTCTGTTAAGCTTTTTGAATGTAGTGCTCTTAGCGGCATGAGGTGGCTTTGACGTGAACGAATGAAAAACATTTTTAAATTTTCATTCAACCATTCACTTCGCTTTGACAAATTGTTTTAAATGTCAATTAATTTTAACGAATATAAATTGATCTCTATAATGAAACCCTGTTTTTGTGGTTGCAATGATAATAAATTATTATTGAAATTTAATTATAAAAGTAATAAATTAATATGTTTATATTTGTAATTATTGTATTTATTTTTTATATAATTTGGTTTAATGAACTGTGATGACTTATTAAAAGATATTCTCCTCTCGTCAGTCCGTAGTCATGGTTGATGTAAAGTAACCAAAACGTCGATAGTATGTAGATATAAAATAATAATAAAAAACGGGAAGTACCTATATCCGAAAATATTAGTTTTATTTAAATAAATACTCAAATCTTAGACATCACAATAAATTCAATGCTAAATTCTATTACAACTGTTTCACATATTTAGACAGACAGATCATTTTTATTTCTATTATTTATGTATTATTATATACTTATTTATATACTACATTTCACATAAAGGTACTAAAATATATTTTCTTCAAGAACTCGTAATAAAGTTAACATAATAGCTTAGACAGCTACAGTAATTACCTCAGGTAAAGTTTGAAATACAAACTTATTACAATCAAGCTTGATAATGGAAAATACTTGAGTGGAAAGTTTAGTCGTAAAATATGAACAAGGATGGAAATTTTACTTCACAAGTTTATTGCATGAGAGTGTATGAAATATATTTATAAATACACACTGTTTATATTGGGTGGAAATCAGAGGTGCCAGGAAAACTACGAAACTTACTTATATGTATATTATAATAAGAATTACATATCAAAACTTATAACCTACACCTAAGACTACATGATTGACCCGGTGTATTCCATAGCTTGTGTGTATCAGGAATCTTCTGGTTCACACGGCTTGGTGTTAATTCCGCGGAGTCAGCAGCGTCACTCGTTATATATTTTATACATACAACGATGTTTCCCGACGATGTTTATTTATTTTTTTACATATACGTAACACATTTGATAATATTTTAAAGAAACTGATCTCTTTCGGATTACTACGCGTGCTCAATTTTTGTAATACACTACATACTCGCGACGTTTCGGCTACTTTTCAGTAACCGTGATCATTTAGGCGAGATGTATAAAATATAAGTTCAATTTAAATAAATAAAACTCTCGAAAGTAGATCTCATTATTAAAAATAAAGTCTGAAACTATACCTAGAATATCAGCTAAAACTATCGGTCAACCAAATATATGTAGGTTATGACTTAAACTTACGTATACGTATCATAATAGTATATTTTGTATGATTCATTAACATATCTATTGTTAAAACATGCTTCATTCTTCTCAAAAACAAATTCTAATATCCACGCAGACGAAGCCACGGTCAAAATAAAGTTTAAATACATAAATTTTATTATAATATTAGAGAGAGAGATTTAAATAAAATAAAACAAATTTTCCCGGAAAAAAATAATTCATTTTCCTTATAAGTAATAAATGTTAATTTTTTCATAGTTATTAATTAACATTAATGTTCAAATTGGTACACTAATTTTTATTAAGTGTTCGTTAAGAGATTAAATTACTACATTACTTTACATAATGGTTTTGTTTCTTTAATTAATCATTAATAATATTATTATATTCTTGATCAATAGCCATTTGATTCATTAAATTTATTGAATCTCGTTGATTAAATGTTTGTAGTATTGGTAATATTATTATATGCTGAGCTAATTGTTTTTATATGATGCTGATTGGGCACAAAATTCTTCCAATGTTTACGATGTATCAATACGATTTAAATCAAATTGTATTTGTATAATTATTTAACTGAATTTAACAATATTATATGTAATTATATTATTTTTTAGAGTCGCCATAGATTTTATAATAAATTCGTAGCCTTTGACTAACACATTTACTAATAGATGAAGGAAAACCTTCTTACTTATATACTTCTTAAAAGAATATAAAATTAAAAGTAAATTGTTTTTAAGAAAATTGTGATAATGGATAAACATGAAATTTAATACACTTAAATTTTATATAGAAAAGAAATCTATAATGCTTTCTCATATACAAAATCATTTAAAATAAATACTACGTACTAGAATAATTTTGACACACATATATGTATAATGCATTCCCAAAGAGGGTTGATGTCAGGCAGGCGGCCGGTCGTAAAATCAATTAGCCAAAACTATTCACAGCATGTAAGGCAGACTCTGGCTAAAGCTGGGAAACTGCCAGGAAGAAGAAGACGTGTAATACGTCAATCCGTGGACATTCCTTAATACTATATGTGTCAATTAATGAAAAACATTGTGACATTTCTATCTAAGAATTGAACTTAAAAAAAAAATTGTGGTCGAGTATTGACCTTTAATCGATATCTAATTTCATGAAAATACAGATACAATTTTTGTATCAGAAAGTCATATATATATATACAAAGATCGTATCGTTTTAACAGGACTAATGGGTGGAGGTGAAAAGGGTCTATAATTCACAGTAATCCTTTTAACCTGTGTTAAATGAAGCACATTATCCATTTATTCTATTGGGATTTTGTTTTGATATTCCTGATTATATTTGATATGGGTGTAATTAGAGGGTATTTAGCCAAATTTTAACTGTAATAGCATTAATTATGTGTTTTCAAACTTATTTTTAGTAAATGAGACGTGTTTTTTTCTCTTTTTCTTCTTATAAAAACACTTTTTATTCAGAATAGTTACATATCTCCTAACTTGTTGAGAATAAAAACAAATTGCCCTATATACAGTTTCGAAGTGAAAAATATATAATTTTTTATGTTTAAGTGGATTTAAATATACTTATCAACGAAAAAGACTGTTTTCATTTGTCGTATTTATTAATCGTACATTCTCAGAACTCTCGCTGTAACAGAATAAGTAATCACAAGACTAAAATCTCTTCAATTTAGCCCCAATCTAAGTCACTTCATATTACGACACCCACGGGCATTTTCCTTTTTCGTCTATAAATGTTTTTCATTTTCCTCATACCTCCGTAATTACTTACGTACTTTCTTTTATGGATAAAGTTATGCTATTTTATTATATGGCCATAACTTTTATTAATATTATACGAAACATAAATAATTATACTAATCCCATCTTCATGAGTTTGTTTATAAAATAGTGTCTTTTTCTGTATTACTAACAGTTGCACGCGACTATGTCTGTCTTTACTAACCAGTAAGTGGATCAATAAATTCTCTTGACTGACGTGACTTGAAGTAAAAACAAAAGAAAGTCATTTTAATTAATTTCTATCAAAATGTTAGGATTGAGTATATCTTAAATATTAAGCATAATTCGTAGTGAAACAAAAAATGCCCCAAAAAATAGTAATTTCAATATAAATAACGTTTTTTTTAATTACATTTGACGTAATTATCCGATCTCTTTTAATTAATTTGTACACAGGGTGCGCCATCTTGATTAGCGTCGCCATTTGCTTAATTCGCTCCCATTTATCGTTTTTAGTAAAAATAACACAAATTTAAATTATTATTTCCGGACTGTGGCGTGTAAAAGTTATTTTATTTACCAAGCAAACTTTTTCATAATAATATATTAGCAAGGTTGACTGCTTTTATTACTGATAATGAATCAAGTGTTTATATGTTTTAAAAGGTTTTGTTAGGAAGGCTAATGTATCCAAAGATTTAAAGAGGTATCAATCTACAAATTACTAGTGAAAAAGTCATACTATTTAATAGTTTTACGTACAGTTTGTCTATCAGAATGAAATATCTTTTAGCATTAGTTATTCAAGATGACAATCATATGATTTTTTTCGCCCACTTTTTAACGCTAATTGCTATAGATATTAGATTTTATTAAGCCATTGTATCTTTAGAGGACGGAGGGCGCTGTCTACCAGCTTTTGCTGGACGTAAATTGGGAGAAATCTGCAACCGTGAGAACCAATGTGATGCTGGACTGGTCTGCGAGGAGATTGTTCCAGGTAAACAGCTTTTTAGAAGATAGCCTTTAGTCTTATACGTTTCCGTTGAAAACCTATGGTGTGAATATGAAAATAGAGTTTTACACTCTTACGTACCAAACCGGACTAAGTTTAAAGACTTATTTTATATATAATAACATTGTAACCGCTATTCCCAAAAAGATTTGCTATAGTTTTTGGTACAAGATATACTTCCTTCACTTATCCTAAAATTTTGAGAGTTCTATTGGATTTTTTGCAATACGATAGTCACTTAACACGAAAAGCCTCAAATGTTTTTGTCTCATACAAGTCATTCTATAAATCAAGGTGAAATGCATGTCTGCCGTCCACCCGCTCCTGGCCACAAGCAATACAACGAGGAATGCTCTACATCCAGTGAATGTGACATCACACGAGGACTCTGCTGCATTATACAACGTAGACACCGCCAGAAGCCTCGCAAGGTAAAAAAATAGATAGGAGTCTAGAATAGAATAAGACTAGAATTCAATGAAGGTTAGGAGGTTATTTGAGGGGATTCGTAAGAATAAAATCCATTAAGTTTCTGTTGAACAAGGTAAATATAAGTCATCATCATCAGCCTATCAGAGCCCACTGCTGAGCAAAGGCATCTTCTCAAATGGTGAAGATATAAGTGGTACAACAATATTCTTACAAAGGATTGATTAAAATTAGCGATTGTATCTTAGTATCATTAGGTAAATGAAATAAAAAAAGAGCCAATTTTTATTACAAAAAGATTCTACTTAAACTTATATATTCAATAAATGTAGGTAAGTCTTCGTAACATATCATGAGCCTACTTGTTTGTGTTCTGTAAAATTTATAACTATCATATCAGAATTAAAATAAAATTTGAATTATGAAAATATAAAAAAGGGCTTCAAATGTTTATTGAGAATTTAATTTTCTTTATAAAAACCTTTACCTTTTTTTTGAATACAAAGTAGACAATAGATTATAAAGGATAAGTTTTGATTGGATTTCTACGAAATTTACATTATTTTATCCTGAGGCTGTATAGCAGATTTATTATTCAATTTTAATAATAACAATAGCTTTTTTTCATGAATTCAATTATCATTTTTCTTTCTGAAAGCTTAACGATATTTTATATGTTGGAAGTAAGTTTATAGTGATTGTAAATGGATTGTTTTAAGAGAAATTTTTTTGCAGAGCTGCGCCTACTTCAAGGAACCGCTAGTCTGCATTGGACCGGTAGCTACAGACCAGATCCGTGAAATCATTCAACACACAGCCGGAGAAAAGAGAATTGGAGTCTACAGAATGCACTAAATGAGCAATTTTACGAGTAAAATGAGTAATTTTGTTGTTTTTTTAACATGGAACTACTTTCTTTAATTTCTCATCTCATTTTACTCGTCTCAAACTATTTATAAATAAAAATATAGATTGGAATTGCTATATTTTTGTTTAGAAATAGTTAAAAATGACTAATTGTGAAAATATTATTGTTATTTTCTCAATTAGTAATACGATCATTACCGATTATATTGATTTGCTATTTTCTTCTCTAAGGAATTGAAATTCTACCTCCGGATCGAATATTTACTTGAAAAAATCTATTTTTTGATCTTTTTCTTATAGGTAATGGTCGTATTTGACGATACGGATCCTAAAAATAATACAAGCACGAAAAACGGCCGCCGATACATCGTTTAAAAAATTAAAATATAATTTTTGATTATTGAAGTTAAAAATTTTTTTTTTGGTAGATCGTGAACATTAAAATTTCGATCGTTTTTAGATTATAGCTATCAATGTTGTTGTATGAATGTTAAATCATTATATTAAAAATATTTAATCCTTATAAATTAATTAGGTTAAAATTAACTAAACATATCCCACTGGCTGAGGCATTTATATAAAAAAAAATATTGATGTTTTAAAATAGGTTAGCATAAGATTTTTCCGCTTAATATAATTCTAAATTAAAAATATATATATAAGTAATTCGATTACTTTAGGTGCCTAGGAGACATATCATTATTGTAATAAAAAAAATTAATCCTAGTCATTAATTAACAAAATTTTTAACATATCAATTTCATTACGAGTTACGACTAAGTCTATTTCCGTATATTTTCATAAACGTATATAGCCAGAGCATATTTTTCTGCCAAATTATAAATTTGTGGCCTAAAACTCATATCCAGAAATAAATATTTACCGTGTTATCTTGTTACTGTAACTGTATTCAATGTGTATCAATACATATTATGTCTGCAATATTGTTTGTTTGAACACCCTGTATAATCTTCCCTTCCTTCTACCTGGCAATTTCCCAGCTTTAGCTAGGGTCTACCTTACATGTTGTGAATAGTTTTGGCTAATTGTTTTTAGGACCGGTCGCCTGCCTGACATCAACCCTCTTTGGGAATGCATTAATCAGTGATGTCTAAAAACTCTTATAAAGTACATATTACTCGGAATAGTCACATTGGTACTTGCCAGGGCCATGATCGAACCCGCGCCCTCGTGCATGAGATGTGGCCTTTTAACCACTAGGCCACCACTGACTTATCTTAATGCCTATAATTATTTGAGTGCCCATTTCCCACGTAAGTATTCCAACTCTCGGATAGTGTATAATAATTTACACTAAAATTTCATAAATAATTTACACTAAAGGTGAATCAGAAAACATATAATTTGAGAGATGACATTGATAAGAACATTTGTGGTAGAAGAAACTTTTTTATATAAAAAAAATCTCACTATTATAAGAAAATCGTTTGAGTAATACAATGAATATATTAAATAATAACTCTGAACTTGTTTGTTAATAATATTTGCAAGAAGAGTTACCAATTTTAAGATTAAAGAAGCTTAGAAAAAAAGATAAGCCTACTCGTAGTGTTTAATAAATTTTGTTTCAAAGAATTATGACTGTCTTAAAACGGGGTAGTTGTATAATATAATACAGGCTGTCTTATAAGAAAAGTAATTATTGAAAATTAATAATTTTATAAAATATTAGTTGTTTAAAATATAGCATTCATCTGTGCTCAGTATATTCTGCAAGTGTCGTGCAAAATGCAGACACGATCCGGTATTAACTTTTAAATGAAATAACATTTAACTGAAAATATTATTTTTTACCTATTAATTATTTACTTTTGTTTGTTTATTTAAAATATGGCCTTCAAATTATTTACTTTATATTGTAAAGTTCAAAGTGACGCTGTCTAATTGATGGAAAACTGACAGTTATACAAATTCTGAGTTGGACTATAAATGTCAAATATGACATATTTTAATGGTTATCTTAAAGTTAAATAAAATAAAATTATCGAAATAGTAATGAAATGAACACCTCTAGGCTCTATCCCATTCTACAAAATCCTTCGTATTTCCACACAGTACTCAAGATTATAATTAGTTCAACAAATAAAAACGTTGACATTGATAGAATATTACACGATTTCAGTGAGAATGAAGACATGGTATAAAAATATGTATAGTGCATATCGGCAGATATCATTCATTGACATAATATATGGGATAACTATTTGACATTAATTTTATTTTAGACTAGTTTTTGCCCGCGACTTCGTCCGCGTTAATTTCGTCGTTGGTAATAAAGGTATAGCTGACCGGGCAATCTCTATTCCGTCTTCAATAACCCGGTATTGGTATTTATTAAATTTCTACTGTTTCAATCGAACAGAATGATTGACATATTAGTTAGTTGTCAAATCTAATGTCAAAAAATCGTTTGTATGGGAAATAGAAAAGGGCTGTTTTTAGGGTTTTTCCGGCAATAATTCCATTTTTTCTCACCTTTTAAACTTTCCCTGGACTTCCAGGAGTATTTCAAGACTAAAATTAGCCAAATCGGTTCAGCCGTTCTCGAGTTTTAGCGAGACTAAGGAACAGCAATCCATTTTTATATACATATATGTAATAATCAATATTATGGAGTTAGTGATTTCTTTAACAAAGTATTTTTTCTACATATCACAGTACGCGGCCTATTAATTATTAAATAAAGTATATAATATGATGAAGGCACTCATCAGTTAATAAAATTTAAATGAACAATGAATGCAATAAGAATGAAACATTTTTCTCCATATTATTTATAAAATTACTCATCGATAATCCTTACTTCCCTATTAATATTATAAATACGAAAGTAACTCTGTCTGTATGTTTGTTACACTTTCACGCCTAAACCACTGAACTGATTTTAATGAAATTTGGTACAAACATAGAGTTGACCTTGAGAAAGAACAAGGGATAGTTTTTATCCCAGACTTTTGAAAGGTTCTCTTGGAAACGCGATATAACCGAACTCCACGCGGGCGAAGCTGCGGGCGGAAAGCTAGTCATAAATAATTAACAGGTATCACAAACGTAAAATCTTGATGACGAAGGTAAACTCCAACGTTAGCTCAAAATCCCACGTATAGAGTCACCAAGTTCAATATTTGTTTTAGACAGTACTCAATACTTACTGCCATGCTTTCTTTTAACGTTAAAAAGGTCAGCAGTCCGAACAGTATTCCTTCAATTGTGTTCAAATTGCTAATTTCGTCTTCATTTTTTGATGACAAAGGGGCTAACGAGTAGACGTTGTAACGAGTAGACGTGTTGATCAAATAACGAGTATACTTTAACCACTAGGCCACCACTGACTGTAGTATATCCGTTATATATTAGTTTCATTTAAATGAATAATGTACACGAAAATCTTAAATCTCATTATTCTTTATCAAATATTACCTTATTTCATGAATTAATATGTTTAGATTATTCCCAAACTTATATTTTAATACGTGTTAGTTGCCACATAACTGGGTCTAAGTTTATCTGAGGTCGTAATCCCGAAACACAAACTAATTTAGCTTACACTAACTGTAATAATTCATGTTTGTTACGGGGATTTCGCAATTTAGCCTGAAGGCAACTAATGTTCTCAGATTACTCATGAAACAAACCAATTAACTGCATGAATATATAATGCTTTTAATCTAAATATTTAACGTTATACTTATTATTATACTAGAATACTGAAATTACGTGTTTTAATGTGAAGAATTAATATTACTTTTATATGTAATCGGTAAATACTTTTTCATTCAAACGTTTATTAGTTCAAGTTTGAACTATCTGTCGCGTGTTGCATTACAATCGAGATGCATAGGGATAAAGGGGAATTCATTTTGCCAAGTGTCCATCCCAATATTGGAAAGTTCACATTTTCGACGATCCGGTAAGATAATAATAATTCTTTAGCCCAATGTCGGGTTCAGACCTCTATATGTATTCTATTGCTAATACAATAGAGAAATTCTTAAATAAATAAACATTAAACCATATCTATTGTATGAAGTAATATAATTACATATACTTAATTACTTCTTTATTTCAATAATAGCTTAATAAGTCATGCTATGTATACGATTATATTTAATATAAATATATTTACTCTTGATTTTTCTTCATTAAACATCCAAAAAGTATAACTTTAACGAAGTTTTAAACGTGATAGGAGAATTATTATTCATAATTTGATCAACACGAACTGTCGTTTGTTTCAGTACATTGACCTTATAATACAAAAAATAACACATAGTCAACAATTGGCCATAATAATTAACATGTGCCATAACAAGAAATATGAAAACAAATACAAGTTTGATATGGAATTTTAATGTTATCATCAGCCTATTAGAGCCCACTGCTGAGCAAAGGCCTCTTCTAACATGGAGAAGGTTAGAACATTGATTATTGATAATCTTCTTCTTCTACCTGGCAATTTCCCAGCTATAGCCAGGGTCTGCATTACATGTTGTGAATAGTTTTGGCTAATTGTTTTACGACCGGCCGCCTGCCTGACATCAACCCTCTTTTGGGAATGCATTAATCAGTGATTTCTAAATACTCTTAGAAAGTACATATGACTTGGAAAAATCACATTGGTACTTGCCCGGGCCAGGATCGATTATTATTATTGATTATTGATAATATTATATCTGCAATATTATTACTTTTAAGTTGAAGTTAAAATTATAAGAAAATTGTAAAAAAAAACATTTAAATTCATCTCAAAATTATTATAATGGTTATGTATGTGGGAGTCACTGAGGAATGACGTTTTTCGATTGAAATTCCAGTTTGGAGAAAGATTTCATTTAGATCTGGAAATACGTCACTGTATTATGATGATACAAATTTTATAATTACTTTCTTTATTAAACATGCAATGAATACAAATAAACTAAATTGATGTACAAATTATGTACGATGGCAACCAGAGGTTCCAGGATAACTACGAAACTTACTTATATGTATATTATAATAAGAATTACATATTAAAACTTATAACCTACACCTAAGACTACATGATTGACCCGATGTTAGTATAGCAATACAATTCCATAGCTTGTGTGTATCAGGAATCTTCTGGTTCACACGCTTGGTGTTCGTTCCGCGGAGTCAGCGGCGTCACTCGTTGTATATTTTATCCATACAACGATGTTGCCCCGGCGATGTTCATTTATTTTATAATATGTTGCGCGTACGTAACATATGATTTTAATAGTACATGTCAACATTACCCAACGTTGTATGTTTGTGAGAAAATTAACACAATATATGACGTATACTCTGTATAAAAACAAAAGCGAATACTTACGACTGTATATTAATATATGTTTTTCAATCATTGCTATTCTTACTTCACATATATTACAATAACTTGGGTATCAATGATAAAAATAACATATTATTATAGTTCTTTAATAAAGGTTTCGTCAATATTCCGTAATTTTAATTACCCAGTTGGCTCTTAAATGATTTTCATTTTAATTCATGGTAAATAATCTTAATAGGATAAGTAAATATACATTATTTAATTAAACAATAAATAATTATAACATATTTTTATTTCCATTAATTACAATTAATATCACACAATCTATTGCACTGCATTTATTGTCAACAAAATAAAGTATTATAACATTTTAATACAAAACAATTTAAAAATAAATTCATAAACAAATAAATCACAGAAACATTTTACAACTGTTTATAAGAAATGAATAAAAATCGAGAATCATTAATTATTTGCCAATCATTAGTCGTTGCCTGTTATCATTAATCATTGATTGTACATTCATTAACCGAAGAATGGTGGTGGTGGTGGTGGGGGGTAGAACACGTGAGGGTATGGTCTGTAGAAACCACCTCCGAATACACCGAAACCACCGAAACCTCCAACAACCACGGGAGGTCGAGGGTAACCGTAACCATAACCTCCTATCCAATGACATGTAATACTCTGAAAAAACAATATTAATGATACACATAGTAATTTACTTCGAGGTCCTAAATAGCTCATATGTATATATTATATAGATAAAATCATTTATATATAATATACATAATTTACGCATACAGACAACTAATAATATGCTAATATTACATAATGAATGAATAAACATTTTAAGATATTATACTTCTGAATTATATGATGATTATTTGGTTAGCAGCTTAAAGTTCTTATTTTTTTTATAATAAGATCGAACTTTCACAATTATTAATTTCAATAATAGTAATATTTTCGGATTTACTAATAGTTTCAATTACTTTGCAGCAATTTTGATCACGGGCAGACGAGATGAAAATTATTTCTTATATTTTTTTGTTATTTGAATCCTAGCATCTTTCATGAAAGGTCCCATGAAAAGTTAAACTTTATACCTCACATTCTAATCGTCAAAATAAAATATAGTTGAGATACGTCACACTCACCTCAATTAAAACAAGTATAGACACCAAAAGTACAATTAATTTTAATGATCCCATGTTCTATAAAATGTATCTCACTGAACAATCTTTACTCAATTTAAATGTAGCTACCACAAACGACCTTTTTATATAAAGCCTCATGAGAATCATAGATACAAATTATATTGACATATAGCTTTTATTTCAATAGTAATAAAGACTATTTTCGTGTAAATTACATGAATCACAACTGGGTATTTTTACTCTATTTAGCGTACTTGTGAAAATAAGATCCTAAATACACACGACGTATAATTCTAACTAGATGAGGTTCTTCCCCTTCAATTTGATATGTGTAAATTCAATAATATATGGGATTTTATTAATATATTCTAGGGCTGAAAATGAAGAAGATATTGCAATAACCTTTTTCAATAAGGGTTTTGAATTATAATGTTGCAATTTGTGGTTTGATATGGTTTTCAATCAAAAATATTAAATATAGTAATATTATTTTTACTATTACTTATTATTATCTTTATCTTATTGTTTTCTTCGTAGTCGTATATCATATATATATTTATTATTTATAGTTTTGCAACACTAAAATCTAAGCGTAAAGAAATAAATAAAAGAAACGTCTAAATCAGATTATATTTGTTAATATACTTAAATGTATAAAATACATAAATGTAACGAGGTTATTACAAATAACACATTTCATTTCTTAATATAATAACCATAAGTAGACAATATTTCACCTGTTTATAAATAATTAAAGACATAAAATGATAAAAAGATAGCACAACTTTTTCATCTATTAAATTATATCCTGTTCAAAGATAGACAGGTCTAAAGGTATTAAATTTAAAAAACTCTTATAAGCATTAATATTGTCTTCATTAGATTAGTAGATATATAAAGTATAATATACCTTTACTGTAAACTTTTAGATAAAAAAACTATTTCAAGTCATTATTTTTAAATCTGGTGACGATTATTTGCTGTCGTTATATCAATTATCACACCTCTTTACTTTTGTTATAATATCTCTATTGAAATATATTTTATTATCTTTGAAAATCTAGCTAAAAGAACAAAAGAAAAGAGTGTTCACCTCAATAGATAGTATATTGTTATTATTAATAATGTTCCAAAATCCCAATTTTAACTACTATTTAAAAAGTATTAGACTCCTTAAAAATAAAAAATAATAGTAAAATTAAATATATTTATTTGAAAATAATTTTAACATATTTTATATTCATTCTAAAATAATCACAGTTAACTTAATCATATAAAATAATTACTGTACATCATTAATCATGAATCATTAAATATTATCATTAATTGTTGCCCGTTATCATTAATCATTAATTGCTTCATTAACCGAAGAACGGCGGAGGGGGTGGGGGTGGATAGTATACCCTGGGGTACCGTCTGTAAAACCCACCACCTCCCACATGGAAGCCTCCAACAATTATCGCTGGTCTTGGATAACCAAAACCGAAACCAAAACCCCCAAAATGACAACTGATAGCCTGAAAAGGAGAACGATTTAAAGGAATTGAGACAAGAAGAAACCTCTCATCATTCAATGTATTCACGGTGCGTGTGTCAGGTCCATCGTTATAGTGAGAGGAGCTTCAACAGTGACTGGGACTTGTGGCCCAGGTGTAGGTTTAATATTTTACAAAGAACTAGCTTTCCGTCCGCAACTGCGTCCGCGTGGAGTTCGGTTATATCGCGTTTGCTACAGAACTTTTCAAAAGTCTGGGATAGATACTATCCTATGTTCTTTCTCAAGGTCAACTCTATCTCAGTACCAATTTTCGTTTAGGCGTGAAATCGTAACAGACAGACAGAAAGATAGAGTTGCTTTCGCACTTATAAAATTAGTAGGGATTTTACTAAATTTAAAATTAATACAAAAAAAGAAAAAAACATGCTAATTGAAAGTATGATATTAAAAAGGAACCCTTTATGTTTCGTTTAATTTTAAATATTATACAATGAAAGGGTAATAATATTTTTTTATCAAACTCACCTCAAACAAAAGCATGACAGTCACAAAAAGGAGTAGAAGCTTAATTGAACCCATATTTTAAATTATTTGTTTCAGTGTTTTAGACAAGAGGCAATTTCAAATTAAAATTTGAGTTTATAAAACAAGCTTTATATAGAAAAAGAAATAATACAAAAATATATAATACCATTCAAATATAGCTCTAACTGCCTTAATATTAAAGTTCATATTTGTTTGAATGTCTAAAATTATTTTTTATATGTGGGATTTTTCGGTTATTTAGCGCTTATGTTAAAATAAGTCTCAAATGATTCACTTATATGTTTATAAACTGTGAGGTCTTTTCCTATGAAAATACATTTTATTGGAAAAATATTATGACAATATTGAGACTTGATAATTGGGAAAACTTTTAAGATACGTCAATTTTTTGATATGCTTTTTTACTGACTATATCTATTTAATGAACACGATGGCTTTAAACCACGGCTTTTTTATTAAATATTAATAATTAATATATTTTCTTATTCAATAATACAACTCCAATAATATTTTTGATCCAACACTCAACACTGACAATAAGAACAATCAGAAAAATAAAAAAAAACTTCTCATCATTCAATGTATTCACGATGCGTGTGTCGGGTCCATCGTTGTAGGGAGAGGAGCTTCAACAGTGACTGGGACTTGTGACCCAGGTGTAGGTTTATAATTAATTCATGATCTAACCGTATAAATTATCACATTTCTAGTAGTTATTATAATGAAAGCATTGTCATTTCTTTGTTATATTTCATTAATTCCTAGAATAACAATTCTGAAAACTAGAATACTAACTACTACACTACATGGGTGGATTCTAGAATCTAGGTACAACCCTAGCCCTTTTTTATCAGCCAACACATAGCTGTTTTGTTGAGACATAATATAAAAAAATATATGGCATAAAATGTAATTATCTAGTTTTTATAACAAAATTTGTTTTTTCCAATATTTTTTGTGCTTCATAATTTCTATATTCTTACAAAATATACATCTGAATAAAGTGCAATTATTCTGTTTGAGAAATGACTCCTTATATAAAAGTTATGTCAATAAATTGTGAGTAACTTATGATATTTCGTTTCTAAGGATAGAATTTTTTTCAGCGTTAAAAATTGGTGAATGTAATTATTAAATATTTCGTTATAACTCTTAATTTTTATTTAATATACCAAATCAGTAACAGATCTATTAAATGTTACAATTTAAATAACAAAATTTCTGTACATATTAAATGCGAATAGATTATATTTATATATTTACTAAGCAAAAGGAGATTTGTTTTTGAGTGTATTATAGATATTCTTTATAGCTACAGCTTAAATACGAGTAGCTTGCCCGTTTTAGCTTTAACGATATTCTTAAACTTTATGGAATAGAACATTTACGTGAGGATACCAAATTAAATAAACAAAATTAGTGTTGGCCTAATGGTTGCAAGGCCCGCCTCTCGTTGCTGAGAGCGCGGGTTCGATCCTGGCCCTGGCAAGTATCAATGTGATTTTTCCGAGTCATATGCACTTTAAGAGTATTTAGACATCACTGATTAATGTTGATTCCCTAAAGAGGGTTGACGTCAGGTAGGCGGCCGGTCGTAAAAACAATTAGCCAAAACTATTCACATCATGTAAGGCAGACCCTGGCTAAAGCTGGGAAATTGCCAGGTAGAAGAAGAAGACCAAATTAAATAAACAAAATTTCAGATTTATTACGTCCTTTGATATGCAACTTAGAACTCAATTAGTCCAAATATGTACATATAAGGTTCATTATGCCTCAATATATTTAATAGCTGAAGCTTCATACATGTTTCTTACTTTTAAGTTCCTTAGTAATACTAATTGATTATTAAAACAATATTATTGAAATTTTTGTAAACAAAAAATACTATAGTAAAGAGCAAAATTTATCACAACTTTGAGGAAATCAAAGAAAACTTAGTATAAGATAAAATAAATAAATAAAATCCAAGAATAATATTTATTTTATTAATCATCTTATTTGAGTTTTGAATACTGTTTTGCCAGCATCCTCTCTGCTTTGTTTCATGTAAAGCCTTTCACTTTACCTCAACAGTACGGTAATGTAATCGTAATGCGACATGCGCTAGACAAACAAAAACAAATCATTCATTTAAATCAAACTAGTATCTTACGGATGTACTACGCGACTTTATTTTTGATAAAAAACTATACTCCCGACGTTTCAGCTACTTTAACATAGGCTAATCCGTGAGCCTATAAAAAATACCCCAATTTCAATAGAGAAGTTGGCTGGAACCTATCAAACACCTGGGATCCTCTTCTTAAAAATATAAAATCCCATGTCCGTGACCACACCACAGGACCTCGAGACATCGTAAGCACATTCTGCCGGCATCCAGAGCGGTATGCAAGACAATTAAGAAATCGATGGCGGTAGGAGATAAAATAACCAGACCAACCGACAGACACTCACATCTCGTCTGCCCGTGATCACGGTTGATGAAAAGAAGCCGAAATGTGTCATATATATAAAAATTATGACATCCTTCATTACGTAATTACTTATGTTCTGTCAGTTTACGAAATTTTTTAATTTACCTTAATTGAAAGCTGTCATTGCTATTTTCCTGTATTGTTGCAGAAACAATTAGGTTTTGTTTAAAATATATATGATATAATATAATGTTGATTAATCAACAAATAAAAACAAAGTCATATGAGAAATAAAAAATAAATATATATTTATTATATATTAGGTTTATTATTGTATACATAACATTATACGTATAATTAATTTTATATAGGGATAACTAAGATTTACGTGATAAAAAAAATGAACATCGCCAGGGCAACATCTTTGTATGTATAAAATATATAACGAGTAACGCCGTTGACTCCGCGGAACGAACACCAAGCCGTGTGAACCAGAAGATTCCTGATACACACAAGCTATGGAATGGTATTGTTATCATAACATCGGGTCAATCATGTAGTCTTAGGTGTGGGTTATAAGTTTTAATATGTAATTCTCATTATAATACACATATAAGTAAGTTTCGTAGTTTTCCTGGTTGCCACGCTACATAATTTACGTGTACACATTTAAATGAAAATAATTTTTTCATATACTAGGCTTTAGATAATTTCATCTCGTCTTAATGATCACGGTTGCTGTAAAGTAACCGAAACGTCGGGAGTATGTAGATATAGAACAATAAAAAACACGTAGTATACGAAAAACATACTTTTAAATATTTCTAACAAAAAATAAAATCGTTATGGGTAATCATTTTTTATGTTGACATTCCATTAGTGCAATTATATTACGAGTGCTGAACAAAACTAAAAATACTCATTTTACAAAAAATATTTATTCATCTTAATTAAATCTATATATATACGTTTTAGAGATTAAACGATTTGTATAAAAACATATCTTATACACAAAATAAATACACAAAAATGAACATTTCTTTTGAAATTATCGCTACATCATAATCATTACTTATTGGCTGGTGTAAATTAATGATTAGCCGAAAAATGGCGGCGTTGGTTGCTGGTCTCCCCCTATCCTAAATCCGCTGAATCCTCCGAAATCCCCAATCTTCCCGAACCCCCCAAATCCTCCCCCGTTCCCAAAAGATCCAAAACCACCAAAATTTATCGGAGGAACTTCAGAACCGAAATCTCCTATTGACCGACAACACACAGTCTGTAACAAAAATAATCGAAATTAGTTAATTAGTTTTGATTTAATGAGATCTAAGGCTTTCGCGAGTATTCATTTAAATGAAACTAATATTTTCAGATTACTGAATCACATCTCGTCTTCGTGATCACAGTGGCTGCAAAGTACAAACGTCGGAGTATGTAGTTTAAAATAATAAAATACGCGAAGTAATTAAAAATAAAAACATATTTAATTCCTGAATAAAGATTGTATAAATAAAGATGGAAAGAAAACTAGAAATTAAAAAATAACAATACGCAATTTTATTTACATACTCGTACGAGTAAAGTGGGTTAAAACGTGAGTTAAATTTTAGTAATGTATTATAAATACGTATAACAATATTTCTATTAAATTATTTAGTGTTTTTTGTATAAGAATAATGTTAATTTATAATCTCTCCTGATAAAGGAGTAATGATTAAACCATTTAAATTCAAGTCTTAATTTTGACTGTAAGTTGTAACCTTAAACAAAGTAAAATATTCACGAAAAAATATACACCATCAATCTATTTAAAGGGAAGTATAATTAATGAAATATGTTTTAATTAGTAATAATGTATTTAAGTTTGTTAATATTAATAGTATTGAGACTTGTTGAATAATTGAAAATCGATTTTTAGACGAGCAAGTTACCGTATGTTTTAACGAAATTCAATATATAGGTAAAACGTAAAAAACTAGTCTGAACTAGGAATAAAATAACTTGTATTTATAACAGTACATATTAACTATAATTCAAATATAACACTTCTTAATCAAATAAATATAAATATTAGTAAATTTATAATAATTTTAAAAATACATACCTCAAATATTATAACAACAAAAACGAATAAAAAGCTTATTGATTTCATTTTTATGTACGACACAACACACTCTGTTGTAATGACAATATGTTGTTTTACAACATATTATATATGTATTCATGAATCATAAACAATATATACCTTTTATAAGGAAAATCATAGACAATTGTACAATTTTTTGTCGATACTACGATAATGAAATCACATTTTAACAGCCAAACAAAATATGTAATACCTATTTACTATATTATGTATTAATAATATAATCTTTAAAATTAATTCTTAAAAGATAATGCTAAAGAAAATATATTGGTTATCAAATAAAATAGAGATTTTATACTGAAAGACATCATCGTCAGCCTATCAGAGCCCACTGCTGAGTTGCCTCTCCTCACATTGAGAAGATTTGAGAATTAATCACCACGCTTGCTCAATCGGGTTGGTGATTTCAAACTTATAATTTGTAATTATAAGTCCAGGTTTCCTCACGATGTTTTCCTTCATCTGTCAATGGTGTCTAAATACTATTAAAAATTACATATGACTCGGAAAAATCGCATTGGTACTTGCCATTTTTCGAATCCGCGCTCTCATGCACTAGCAGCGGGCCTTTAACCTCTAGGCAACCACGACTGTTACTGAAAGACGTACAAGAGAAAAACTTATATTTCTCCATAGTCTAAAGAATAAATAAATATTAAATTTAATATATATATTCTTTAAGATATGAAGGTTATTTTAAATAATGCTATATCATGGAACTAAATAAATAAAATTGAAATTTACATCACATGTGTTAAACAGATCACTTAGATACAATTCGTGATTACATACGATATTTTAAATAACATCCTTTGTTTACCATAATATATATATACTTCTAGATATTTTGTTTCTTTAAATGTTTTTAATATAAAATTACTTCCATATTTTCAGTTTTAAAACTATTTTTTATCTACGGAATATTGATAATTGGTATGTTGTCTTTGGAGATAATATTTGCATATATTCTTCTTTAAATCCCTACTAACATTATAAATGCGAAAGTCTGTCTATCTGTTACGCTTTCACGCCTAAACCACTGAACTGATTTTAATGAAATTTGGTACACACAGAGTTGACCTTGCGAAAGAACATAGGATAGTTTTTATCGCTGACTTTTGAAAGGTTCTCTTGGAAATGCGATATAACCGAACTCCACGCGGGCGAAGCTGCGGGCGGAAAGCTAGTATAATAATAATTAGGTAACTAAACGTCTTTATTCCATTCGACAAACTCCTTCGTGTTTCCACACAGTACTCAAGATTATAATTCATCCAACAAATAAAAACGTTGACACTGAAACAATAATATTACAAAATCCAGACATTTCGTACTCGTACATAACAAATTAACCCAAATAAAACATAAACCGTAGCTACATTTAGCAAAGGCTCACTTATTCTTTACTCAAAGAAATACAGTTTAATATAAATAAAATTAAGTTTACAACATTATAATTCTCATATAGGTATGAAAATATTTTATCTATGAGAAATATGAGAATTTTCGGTTCAAAACTCATCGGATGTGATTTGTCACCGCTCAGGAATCAATGAAGCGATGCGTAATGTAGAGGAAATAAATCGATGTACCTGTTATATTGAAATGTTATTTCCCCTTCATGATACACACGGACGTAAAGAATGTGGAGTAATTAAATATATTATATATTAAATAAATAATAGTAACGATTTTTATTATAATTTAATTTTGTTATGAAACAGACTAATTTGTAAACTGTGTGTCAGATTTGGTTACTTTGATATTAAGTTTTTGTTAAACTTGAAGATATATAGACTAGCAAATCATTCCAATGCTCAAATTGTGATTTTAGGTTGAAAACCAGATCAATGAAGAGTAGTTGAATCAACTTAAATATAAGATTTATATACAATACTAGTTTTTGCCCGCGACTTCGTCCGCGTTAATTTCATGATTAGATTAGTAATATATGTATAGCTGCCCGGCGAACTCAATTCCGTCCTAGAGGCCATAAATAATCAGATTTTTCCTGTTTCAATCGAACAGAATGATTGACATATTAGTTAGTTGTCAAATCTAATGTCAAAGAAAACATTTGTATGGGAAATAGAAAAGAGCTATTTTTAGGGTTTTCCCGGAAATGAATCAATTTTTCTCACCTTTTATACCTTCCCTGAACCTCCACGAACATTTCAAGACTAAGATAAGATAAATCCGTTCAGCCGTTCTCGAGTTTTAGCGAGACTAAGGAACAGCAATCCATTTTTATATATATAGAAGATAGAAGATAATATGAAAACCAAAAAATAATAATATATGTATAATGAGATCTTAGAATTTCAAAAGTATTAATTAAAATAAAACTTTCTACCATTTTCACCTCTGCTCGTGATCACGGTTGCTGCAAAGTAACCGAAACGACGATAGTCGTCATCAGCCTATCAGAGCCCACTGCTGAGCCTCTTCTCACATGAAGAAGGTTTGAGCATTAATCACCACGCTCGCTCAAGACGGGTTGGTGTTTTCAAACTTATAATTGTGAAAATATAAGCCCAGGCTTCCTCACGATGTATGTAAAAAATAATAAAAAAACAGGTACTACATTTTTATTTAAATTCTAAGATATCTATGTGTGTAAGTGATAATTTTATTTGGCGTCAAAATTTCCGTAATACGAACATAAATTTGATTTAAATTACCAAATGATCATTTATTGAGATGAGATTCCTTAATCAATATTATAATTAGTATTAGTAATGAATTAGGTTAAAGGATATTATATTATATATTTCTTTATATACATATATAAATGTACGTTTTGATTGACGAATTATTCATAATATTATAGAAATGAATTAAAGGCTACTTCACGCCAATCTTCTGTGAGAGGGTGGTACTTACGGTCGAGCCAGCACATGTTCGAGATGTAGTAACTTGACCACAGCTAGGTTCTACGGGCTTTAAAAGTAAGCTTCACTTATATAATTTTGATTATAATATATGTCTATGCAAATTTATACATTTCCTTGAACCAGCTTGTAATAAAACACACAATTTAATCCATTAAAGTTTAGTTTTAACTAATTATATAATATATTGGTAACAGAATCTTTATCATCTCATTTGAAGCTTCTATTTCTGTAATTGTATATATAAAGAGTTTCCAGTTACGATCTCGTCTTCATTTATCCTGTTAAACTAATTAACCCACTCACCCGACCTATAGTACTGGTTAAACTTGGTATTTAGTGTGATTTAAGTAAAAATAAGACAGTCTTTATGTGTCATCTGTATTCACATATGTATTTTGTTGTACGAAAAAATTAACAAAATGTATCTTAATTAAAATTACACGTACATATGTATATAATTCCGTATGATAGTTAGGTAAATTGTAATTTTTAGTCAGTGGAGGCATAGTGGTTAAAAGGTCCGCCTCTCATGCATGAATGCGAGGATTCGATCCTGGCCCGGGCAAGTACCAATGTGATTTTTCCGAGTCATATGTACGTTATAAGAGTATTTAGACATCACTGATTAATGCATTCCTAAATAGGGTTGATGTCAGGCAGGCGGTTGGCCGTAAAAACAATTAGCCAAAACTATTCAAAACATGTAAGGCAGACCCTGGCTAAAGCTGTGAAATTGACAGGTAGAAGAAGTTAGGTAAATTGTATTTATTTTTCACGCCCATCACCCATGATACAGTATTTTAAATACCAAAAATAATAGACATTTTTATTTAAAACTAAATTATTTTTGATACAAAGAATAATCAGAGTTATTAATAATTTTCTATCAAAGCTCCTTTTATTTTTTAAGAGCAATCTCACGACGTTATTTCTAGAACAAAGGAACTATATATATATATATAGTATGCTAAAGATATCAGTGTTTATTCCCGGGGAAGCTGACCCAGGTTGAATTCTGTACCAATCGATGCAGTACTGCAGATGCGCTGTTCCTATACTAGTGATTCCATTTTATCGATATTGCCGACGATAGATAACATTTTATCGACTCTGCCAACGGTAAACTCTTCGAAGTATAATTTCAGACTTGATTTTTAATGTTTAACGTTACTTCCACTCATATCACAAAATGGCTGAAGCCAGTATTTATAATTTTTAAATACAAATTGATACTTA